CGACTCTGAAGGAGGCAATCAAATGGGCCATATCGGTGGATGTCTACCTGCATGATCCCACCATGACCGGCCAAAATTCTGGACACGCTCCCACACACACTGCTCACACTGCCCCCGCTGACCCCCATGCTATGGACATTGATGCCACCCACACTAGTAATGGGAATACTAGGGAGGCATTCCTAGCTCGCATGCGAGGACGATGCTTCGGCTGTGATGCCCAAGGTCATGTCAAGAACGATTACCTGCCCACCAACCGTGGGACCATGCAATTGATCTCATACCTGGAGCACCGGCAACCATGTACACCAAGATTTACCCCATGTCCCTAAACGAGCAGGAGGAGTTGGATCGCTTCCTAGAAGAAAATCTGCGGAAAGGCTACATTGTTCCCTCCAAAATCTCGTCCCCAGTCTTCTTTGTAAGAAGGACGGGAAACTTTGTTTTGTACAGGATTACCGGAAACTAAATGAGTATACTGTGAAGAACCACTACCCCCTCCCATTGGTGGCTGATATAATTAGTCGGCTTCAAGGGGCTCGATACTTCACCAAGTTTGACGTACGCTGGGGCTATAACAACGTCAGAATCAAGGAAGGTCACGAATAGAAAGGAGCCTTTGCAACCACATGAGGGCTGTTCGAGCCCAAGGTTATGTTCTTTGGTCTCACCAACTCCCCCGCAATGTTTCAAGCACTTATGAATGCTATATTTGCAGACCTCATTGCAGCTGGAAAGGTAGCAGTTTACCTAGACAATATCCTCATCTTTAGCAGTGATCTTCAGGAACACCAACAAGTGGTACGGGAAGTACTAACCCGGTTGGAGAAGCACGATCTGTACCTACGACCGGAGAAGTGTGAATTTGAACAACAACAGATTGAATATCTAGGCCTTATTATATTGGAAGGGGAGGTGAGAATGGACCCTGTAAAGGTAGCTGCAGTTCGCGACTGGCCAGCCCCCACTAACCTTCGAGAGCTATGAGGGTTCCTTGGATTTGCTAACTTCTACTGACACTTTATCCGGAACTTTGCAAGGATAGCCAGGCCCCTGAACGACCTCACTTGGAAAGATGTATCCTTCACCTGGATGGACACCCAGCAACAAGCATTTGATACCCTTCAAGAGGCCTTCATCTCTGCACCCATCTTAGCCCTATGGACACTGGACAGACCAACCCCTATCGAAGTAGATGCTTCAGGCTTTGCTACTGGCAGTGCCCTCATGCAGAAGCAAGACGATGGCCAATGGCATCCTGTCACCTTTAGATCAGCCTCTATGCAACCAGCAGAACGAAACTATGAGATCTATGACCAGGAAATGCTAGCCATCATAGAAGCACTGAAGGACTGGAGGAACTTCCTAGAGGGACTACCCCAGCCATTCAACATCATCACTGATCACTCTAACCTCGAATTCTGGCGCACAGCTCAAGACCTCACCCGCCGCCAAGCTCGCTGGGCTCTATACCTTTCACGGTTTGACTTCCACATGATCCCCCGCCCTGGTAGAATAAACACTCAGGCTGATGCTCTCTCCCATATGGCAGCCCACCAGGTACTAGACAATGAGGATAATTGACAGCAGACGGTCCTTAAGCCCAACCCTAACCCCTAAGGTCCTTAAGCCCAATCACTTCACCAAAATTGCAGCTTCTATTCTATGGAACCCCTAAGAGGATCATATCTGGAAAGCCTCACAGCGGGAAGCACAGGTACTGGAAGGTCTCAAAACAGTCAAAGAGCATGGACTACAACACTTGGCCAATGTAATCGCTGAATGGGAGGAGGACAACAGTCTGGTCCACTACTGAAAACAAGTGTACGTGCCAGCAGACAGTGATCTGCGCACTGAAGTACTACGTCAATGTCATGACCATCCCACTGCTGGACACCCTGGGTTTCATGGTACACTCGATCTAGTTAGCATCTATTTCTGGTGGCCAACACTGTGCTCCTTCGTGGAAAAGTACGTAGAGGGATGTGAGACGTGCGCACGCAAAAAGATCTAAAGCACCCACAAGCTGTAACTCAACCACTGGACGTACCCTTGGGTCTATGGGAGCAAGCACATCAAACACGCTCTTGCTTAGATCATTTCTTCCAGCCTCGGTGCTCCACCCTCCCCTCTTGAGTTGCAAAGCACTAAGTTCATTGCTGCTACTCTTAATTTTCAGGCAGCTGAATGCAAACTTGGTCAAGACTTATGTAACTTATGCACATATTGCCAAGGTAATTGTAGATGACGCTTGCAGTATTTCAAAGAGTTGTCAGAATTCATAATCGCTGCAAAAAATTGTAGGCATATGAGTTCCGCAACTGCATACCTTCTGGCTCCAGTGGAATCAATGCCAGATCAAAATAGTCTGGTCAGGATCCACAACAGACAAACAGTATATATGTATACTCCCCTAAGGCAAATGCACCCCCTTCTGGTGAGGAGCGAGGAATCCAAAGCAAAGCAAAATTCTGAAAAAACCCAGCACTGGACCTTGCTAGTAGAATGAGACACTCTAACACTGTTAGAGGAACTTTCCAGATCCAATCTGGAAAGAACTATTAATTTTATTGCAGACTGGTTTTGGATAACCAAGGAACCCCCCTAACCAAGGAACCTTGTACTTAGTTCACTGTGAACCAGAAGGGGCAGCCAAGAGTGTTGTCTGGGAAACTAGACCTGAATAGGAAGCTCCTCAATTCCAAGAGACATTTCCTTGTGCAGGAACATTCATTGCCCAAAAATAATGAGCATCCTGGAATCAGCAATTCAGGTAACTTTTGGGGACCACCCTAACTATACATGTCCTTTTGCATAACCCAATGCCTTCCCAGAGTCAACTCACAGACACAGCCAGTAACACCAGTCTTGTCCCAGCAATACCAGATTGATGAAGCAGAAATGGAGAATGCACAACAATCATCACCAATCTCTTGACACAATCTGACAGCTCACTTGATCCCCAATCCTAATCCCCTTACAGATTGAGCAATCTATCAAGTAATGTCTGTTAATTGGGCGCCCAATTAAGAGGATTGCCTGTTAATTGGGCGCCCAATTAAGAGGATTGCCTGTTAATTGAAGCACTCAATTAAGAGGGATGTCTGCTAATTGGGCGCCCAATTAAGAGGATTGTCTGCTAATTGAGGCACTCAATTAAGAGGGATGTCTGCTAATTGGGCGCCCAATTAAGAGGATTGTCTGCTAATTGAGGCACTCAATTAAGAGGATTGTCTGCTAATTGAGGCACTCAATTAAGAGGATTGTCTGTTAATTGGACAAATTCAGGGCAAAATTCCTGAATCCAGGGATTTTTGAAATTATATCCAATCCAGGGAATTTTGGGGGCAGATTTGTTGCTTCTGGTGCTCATTGGATGGTTTTTTGGCAGGGACTCAGGCCTGGATCTGGGAAATAGATAGTTAGGCACTCAATTAAGAGGATTGCCTGTTAATTGAAGCACTCAATTAAGAGGATTGCCTGCTAATTGAGGCACTCAATTAAGAGGAATGTCTGTTAATTGGGCGCCCAATTAAGAGAATTGCCTGTTAATTGAGGCACTCAATTAAGAGGGATGTCTGCTAATTGGACAGATTCAGGGCAAAATTCCTGAATCCAGGGATTTTTGAAATTATATCCAATCCAGGGAATTTTGGGGGCAGATTTGTTGCTTCTGGTGCTCATTGGATGGTTTTTTGGCAGGGACTCAGGCCTGGATCTGGGAAATAGATAGTTAGATTTTAAATTTAAAATTTTGAAATTATTAAAATAATTCGGGGTTCCTGTCTTATTCCAAGCCTCCCCTTGGTTTCTGCTCCTCTGCGATTCCGGTTGGAACTGCTGCTCTTTCCTCTGCGCTTCATTGCGGTCCGTATCCATGGGGGTTGTCCAATGGGGGGCCACCATCTCTTGGTTAATACCCGTCTTCAAATGGCTGGCATTTGGGTGACACTTTTATACACCACTTGCATTGTTTTAATGAATTCGGGGTTACTGGATTGATTAATTAATCCTCATAACATGCCAACAACACTTGTCCACATTTCAAATCCAATAATTACACCTAATTGAGACAGCACCTATTGATTCAGTATGTTCCAGGCAAACTTAGTACATTCAGGAGGTTCTGAACATTTATTCCATGCAGGATATTCATGAACAACACCTCTTTGTTACCTGTAGTCCTCATTCTTTTGGCTAAGATCCAGGCCTGGGTCCTGAAATGAATACGAAATGCTTGCTTATTGCAAAGACAGTGGGGTTCCCCCTCCATACACCCCTATTGGCACCAAGACAGATCACATTATCCCCCCAAACAACACCCCCTTGCTAGATCTTTGTTGTATCTTATCCAACACCCAAGGCCCACCAACCAAACCCGTTGAAATTCAATAACTAGCCAAGCTCTTTGGCTTACTGGTTGTTAAGTAATATAGCTTAAGACTTAACGCAATAATAAGTCACAAGTTCTGAGTTAAACCAGACTTGGAGACTGTTGATACTCAACAGTTCACACTTATTGAAGAACAGTCTTTAGGTAATCCTCAGTATATAATGCACAACATTGTGAAATATTTTAACATCAGTAAAGTGATTATACATCCTCATCATCCCCACACCCCGATTAAAGGGCCAGAGATGGAAAGATTTCTCTTACCAGACCACCTTTGTTACATTTATCAAAACAGGATTTCCGTATAGTGCTTTACCCAAGATGGCAGTGTTTTTGGCACAATAAGACAATGAAAAGATAAGGTTCTCTGAGCTAAATTAGTCCCCCTAGCCTGCATGTTACTTGTATCTCCAATGGAAAGCTCGTCTTCCAGTCTTGCTGAATGAGAATGAAACTTTATTAGACAACCCTTTACCATGCAACATGATTCGCACATAACAGTAACTTCTAATGACACTGTGATGAATTACTGTTCCCCAATCTCAAGAAATCCATAAAATAACAAACTTAAGACTTCCCAAGTATAAAAATCCACTCATCATTTTCATTAAATACGTCTATGTTTAGCTGAAGATACAGATACTGTTTCACAACTGCTAAGATCACTTAAATCATCCAGCCCTGCCTCTGTCCTACGGATACCTTTCCAATCTCCTCGGAGCAAGTCCCCCCATCTAGTAAATCTACTCAATGATACCTTCCATCGACGTAGACGGCTCACTTCTCGTTCCTTAACCTCTTCCTTGCTAGCCTTAGACATGAACGACTTGTCGGATTGAAATCCGTTTGCAACCCAACGAAAAAGCCCGCCAGAAGAATATTGAAGCAAAGCAAACCGGGTCTCCCCCTGTTGGATCGGCACAGTCGAGTGGGTGATGAGAGCAGAAGGGAAAAGGATAGTGGACCCTGGCGGGAAACGAATGGCGAGGCGGAGCTCCCAAAGCACGAGATGACCCCCAAGGTCAGGGTTGTACTTTGCAAGGGGAGTATCGGCGCACCACCCATGAACGGTGTTGTCAGGGTCTTGATGAGGGGGCGAGAACGATTGGGGGCCAGCATTAACGGTTAACGCGGCATAGGCTGTGTTAGGAAAGTTCGCCCGGAGATGAGGATGTTGCCGAAGGAGTTGCTCGTTGGTCTTCTGGTATTCCATAAAAGTCTTGTGTGAATAAGAGTTAAACACCGCTGATAAGGAATTAAGCTAGATCATTGCATGAGAAAAGCCAAAACGCACATTGTTGAAACCCTGCTATCCGCTGTATTGCAGGGTTTCTAAGAAGATCCTCCACCGCCCTCTTGTTAGCCTCACCGTTGACACGATAATTCAACGGCTGTTTGCGCCCATTCCCGTACCCAAATCCAACAGTTCGAAATGCAAAATCTCCTCGACGCCCGTGTTGTTGTGCCTTGGTGAACGAGCTGCTCTCCCGGAAGGTTTCCACAGCCTTACTAGCCTCCTCCACCACAGTCCGCCATTCTTCACCAACGGAACCTGGAGGAACCCCCCCTAGAACTGCTATGACCCGATCAGAGGCGTCGAGAAGAACAACTCGAGACCTATATAACAATTTCCAGCCTGTGAGATAACGTTACGTTGAAATCTCAGACCGCTACGCACTCTCCATCCCAATCCAACAGTCTAAGGTTCGACTCGGTCAACGCGTCGAGGTTACGCCATAGTCGCTGTAGCCCGGGGCTGAGTTTAGTTCGAGAATATGCAGTCCAGCCGTTTGAGGCTGCGGGGAGCGAAGAGGTATCGAACGACTTGAGTTCAATGGGCCTAGCATCCTGCGCAGTCCGAATCGCATGCCCCTTGAGCTCTCCGCTTGCCTGTCTCTCCTGAGCAGCGGCCGCGCGTTTCCTACGAGCAGCGGCAGCCTTCTTTGCCTTTTTTGAAGAGTGACGTTTCGAGGGCAGGCAACAATGAGAGGCGGAAGGAACGTTAGAAGGGAAGGAGCTGGCTTCGAGAGACGTAACAGGCGATGACGAGGCGGCACAAGGCAATAAGCAATCTTCTTCGTCCTCAAATTCAACATCCTCGTCCTCCAAACTAAGACCCAAATCTTCCACCTCTAATCTAGCTGTGTTGTCATCCTTCAAAGCGCTCTTGAGATCGAATCCGTCGAATTTGAGGTACTGGGTAATAGAAGCTAAAGAAGGTTCTAAAGGACGTTAGCACCTGAGTAGTACGAAGAAATATAACTGAAATCGACGCATTGGTCAAGTCAAATGGAGCCCGTTCACGCGCCTGGCCTGTGGAGGGGCTTGACGGCGAGAGCGTACTCCCCAGGAACTTGACGCGTTTATCAAGTCAAGTGAAGTCCGTTCACGCGTCTGGCCTGTGGAGGGGCTTGACGGCGAGAGCGTACTCCCCAGGAACAAGACCAACGCGAAAGAAAGTGGGGATTCTTGGCGAGAAACTTCCGCGGAACACCTAGCCTTTGGAGAGGCTTAGGGAGGTGAGTCTCCCTACTAAGAACCCCCCCTGTGAGTAGCAAATAACAAAAGCGTACCTGAGAAACTTCCCTTGCCCATTTCCAGGCAATCTTGACGAACAGGTAGCTGAAAGGAGAAGAAGGTAAGCAACACTTTTAAGTTTAACGTCAGTAACTTGAAAGCATTAAACGAAGTCACATGCCTGAGTGAATCTTAGCGCCCGGCTAATATTTGAGTTTAGACGCGTATAAACGGCACGAAAACCAAATTTTAATCGCATAAGTACTCTAGGATTAGATGCAGTAGAGTAGATAATACCGGTACACTAGAAAGAATCTACACTAACACTAAGCAAAATAAAAACGCGATTCTGCACCAGCAATTATTGTCCATGTAGCAATCTGCGAGAAGAAATCGTAAGTAATCTAACGACGAGTTAACGATGCTTTCAAATGTAAGACAAGGTAACTTACTAATGAGGGACAGGTGCGAACGGTTACGCGATGATAGACCGCTTGAAGTGTAGAAATGTGAGAAAAAGGCGAGGATTATAATTCAAACCCACAACCCAAGGTAAGACCCTTTCCCGGAGGAGCAACCTCTTTGAGTACGATTGGTTCGAAGTAGACGTAGACGACAGCTATGAAGTGAGTAACTTTCTTGTTGAAGTTAATATACTCGAGAGCAAGATGGCGGACCAGTTCCATAGGCGCCGATGCTCTGGCTCAACACCCCCGAGCATGACTTGTTCAAATGGACAAACACCTACCACGGCCGACGCATGCTCATATGTAGGGTTTTGAAAAGCAAGGCGGTGGCCGGGTGGTCCAAGAAAACACGTTCGGCGTCGAAAACGAGTGAGAGGATTGCAGGAGGCGGGGTGACCGCTGTAGGACTTAAACGACCTACATACAACAAAAGAGCCCCATAACATACAAGAGATGACCTACGCACCTTAGAACCGTGAACCTGTAGAAAGTGGGCCCATACTTGGCCTTCAAACCTTCAAACTCACATAATGGGCACAGATACATTACAGCGCCTTCGCAAGCCCTCTTGAGACTGTAATGAGCTCCTATGAGGAAGGTAAGTAGTAGAATCTAAGAAATGGGCCTAAAAGTTACCATAAATGACTACAACCGGCACGCCGTCGTGGTCGTTGTGGCCGGACGTGTGGGTGTATATAGCAGCCTCGCATCTAGGAGAACGGTCACAAAAAGGACGGCACATAGCATACGTGCGCTTCGGCTTGCACAAACCGCGTCAGAGACTCGGATCACTCACTATTCGCATATCACCATTACGAACATGATGGTTTCGAGAAGAAAAACGCGCCGAGGTTGAGAAAACTAGAGTGCAGATGACGGTACGAGGGAACGAAGGGATTGAATTGATTTGAAACCCAACGCGTTCTTTTATAGTGACATCTAAGTCTAAGATCTTAAGAAAGGATGATATCATAATTAAATCCACTCGATTCGTCTAAATAATCTGTAAAAGGTAATTAAGAACAGAACCGGACGGGGTACCTGGGATGGATTCTTGGCTGGCATACGAAGGCATTCACCTAATTGCCGAATCTCACTCTAACGAAGCCCTAATTTGAGCGCGATTCCCTGTAAGAAGATACGCTCCTCTGTAATGAGTCTTTGTAAGTAAAAATAAGGGCTATCAGGACGAGTGGTGCAAATTCGCCAGAGGTCTTGGCTGGAACCCTATAAACATACCGTCCTGGATCAAGAGGTTTATCGGGAATGGAAGGCGGACAGTTGCGAGCCCATCGAAAGGGAACCCAACAGTCGTAGCAGAAGGGCCAGGACGCGGAGGACCTCGTTCGTATTCCCTTGAGAGAAGCAACAACAATGCTTGTAAAGGCCCAGAAACGGTTACACACCGCAACATCCGCATGAAACCCGCCTTTCACCCAACAGTCAGGACACCCATTAAGGACAACCGATTCCAGTATATTATTGAGTTCCCTAATTTATTGCTCCACCACCTGTTAGTTCGAATTGAGGACTGGAACGTTTGCAGTTACTGAATTTGAGATGGCTTTAGCGCGGTTATGAGGAATTTCAGCAGCGAGTTTCTTGCTGAATCGAGAGACGTCGGCGTCGGAAAGAGAATATGGCGTCTATTACAGGGTAAGCGGGTAGAGCTAAGGCGGACAGAATGAAGACACACAACGGATGAATTCAAAACTCCCCGTTCAGAGCGATGTAAGAATGTGCCTCTCTATCGAACGCAACCAACACCATTCGTAAACAGACCAGACTTCGAAGAGAACCACGCCGAGTCGAACGACGTGATCAATATCCAAGGGATCTTCCGAAGGGAAAGGAAGCTGAGGACAGAGAGCCGGTAATCCGTCACGCCCAGCTCGACCCGCTTCTTGGTACCATTTAATGAGCTCCCGGGAATCTTTGTGAATGACGGTGCGGACGGAAGAGTAGTCAACGCCTTGCCCTGAGTTGTATTGTTCAACTCTCGTATAGATAGGAAATCCGGACCCTTCGTTCCTTCAACGTCGACAAGAATATAATGCCCCAGTCCTGTTCACCCGTCCTCTCATTTTCTCTCTGGACAAGCTGCATAATGTTCTCAAAGTAACCCTCCTGCACAGTTCGCTCCACAGCGTACTTGAGGTTTCGTCTCCCACTATACTGACAGATTTCATCCACAACCGCAGCGTCGTTGATCTCCACAGCCTCAAGAATGACTGGCACGTAACGAGGCATTAAGGAATCGGATAGGAAGGTGATAGGAACAGAGGAACGGGCGAGATTAGGGGAACGTTTGAAGCAGGATCGAAAGTCAGAGTCGGTAACAATCTTATTATGGGCTTCATCAATGAAAACACCTTTGAGACGCTGACGAACCAGATCACAGGTAATCCAGTGGAGGAGTTCATCAGACCCAGCCTTGTGAGCAGAAACCAGGATGAGTTGAGCCGGGTGCTCCTCGTAGGAATCTTCACGCATATTTCCCCGTTTATACCCGTTTCGAGCATCCGCCGTTCGAAATTTTGAGTTAGAGCAATGAGAGCGCTGTCGACGACGAAGAGGTGGTGAGGGGGGAGGAAAGGAAACCCTCATTATTGCTCCACGCTGTTTGTCCATTGTTCCCATTTCCGCCGCTTTCAACCAAACCCCAATCAAATTTTCGACCGTCTCTGACAACGTATACTTCCCAGTTCACGCCGCTTGTCTGACCATGGGTTGGCTCCAGTGGGATCTCTTCAACAGCCTTGGCATCCGTTGCTAAAGGTTTACCATCATCTTGGGGAACGCTCGAATCTTGACAGAACTTTGAGTCTGTGACGTGATTCGAACATGATGCAGATGAAGGCGAAATGGAGTCCAGGGGCAAGGAAGAGACCGACATAGAAGGAATGGTAGGTGAGGATGAGGACGCGGGCTTGGCGGAAATCGAGATGTCTGACCCATGGCCAGGATGGGGTGATTCGCGGGGTTGCAGGGTGTTGGAGTAGAGACGAGCGAGGGCAGTACTTAACCTTTTAAAGTTGAAACGAGCATGGGCTTCAAGAGTGATGTTCGGGGTGTGGTAAATGTTGGTGGAGGGCTCACTGCGTCTGCTTAGGGGTATTTTGAGCAGCGGCTGCTCGAGGGTCAGGAAATAACACAACTTTGACTGTAGATTCTATCAAACAGACCGCAAACTTTCAGCGAGACATTCTCATTTCGCGAATACGACATAGAACGGATTAATTCGTGATATTACCCTAGGGTACAACACGGAAGTATGACAAGCTATTAAACATGGTCGAGGGGAAAGTGTTTCCTGTGACTCATATGTCTAGACGCCTTTTCCTGTAGATAAAAAGGAACAGTCAGGGTTGAATTGGCCACAGGATAGAATGAGAAGTATGGTTCAATATGATAGAAGATTGGGGGCGTCCAGAAATATAGTCCCTCGAAGCCTTCACACTTCAACGTTAATCGAATGCAGGCCAGCTTACCGTTGCCTCGGGTGTTACATATGAGATCATGTCTTTGATAAGCCCTTCCAAGACGCCTTGTAGATTGAGTAGAAACGCAGCACAATTGCCCTCTGGGATCGGTATCGCCGCAGAGATTTTTCCTTATTGACTTCATGCCTGTCGACTCGTATAAACACATCGAATATGTATAAGCTTGGAGCAGTCAGCAGCGGACAAGGACCAGGCCAATTTGGTATCGTCCTGTCCAGTACCACCAAAAAATTTGTATGAATAATAACAGCCTTCCTTGACGGTATTCGAAACGTACTTTCATAACTTTCATCAAAGCTCTGTTCGGGTGGTCATTTTGGAGGCCAATAGCCGTCTCGACTGTACTACCTCCGTCCTGGAAGACACAGTTCGAGGCTTACAAACTTTTCATCGAATAGTTCTGGAGAAGGAGTAAAAAGTTCACACGGGCAAAAGCGTGGACCACGCCTTCGACGAAGGACGGATATGACTCATGCAGCGCTCAATCAAACCGCCGACGGCATAATTCTCTCAAATAGCGCTAAATCGAGCGAAACTAATGAAACCGATGAAACTAATGAAACCGATGAAACTAATGAAACCGATGAAACTAATGAAACCGATGAAACTAATGAAACCGATGAAACTAATGAAACCGACGAAACTATCAAACTCTATCAAAGATATGCAAATCTTCATCGTCCTTAACAAGATAAGTGTAGTTTATTCATCAAAATTATTTGTATGCTGTTTATATACTGGGCCGTCTCAAACCTCAACACTCAACCCTTGGTAGTAGTATACGCAATGTCCATGCACAGAAAGACGCCAACAAGCTCACAATAAGTCCGTCATATCGAGGAAGCTTTGGAGGATAGCGTCTCCGTCATACGGATGCCCATTATGCAGAGATCCGTTATGCGGAGACCTTCCATACTTATAGATAATAAGACTTTCATCCCAGGTATCATCTTCCTCCTCCCATCCCGCCTCCTTTAACAGTCCGTCCCATGGAGAAACACGATTCACTGCCTGTAGACTACATGAAGCCAGTGCTACAGCAGGGTTATATTCCGCATCTCTCACAAAGTCGTACAGCTGGGGGTTGACACTATGATAATTTCAGATGTTGGAGTAAAAATTAGTAATGAGCAGTAAAACGTACTCTTTAGAATGACTGGCCACCATGCAGTGTGGCGCATCGTCGATTATCGCTAACGAGGCGTCGACCCCAGCGTCCAATAGCTGCAGAAGAAATATTTCGTGATATCTTTTGCTGAATGCTACATCTTTTGTTCCGTGAATCAATTTGATGGGGAATGTTATTCGGGCTAAAGATTTCTCATCCTGAGAAGAACAATGAACTTTAAGGCCATGGGCCAAAATTCGGTACTGGTCAAGGAAAGGGTAACACCATCTCCTCTCCGCCGTCTTTGATGATATGGACCATATACTGCATGTAATATTGATCATCAACGTACAGGATGGGCCTCAAAAGGCACTTACGCGTTGCATAGAGAAGATAGTTGAGGTTCAGAGAAAAGAAATTGTTTCTCCCCGAACTCAGCGTCATAAATCAATTCTTTCAGGATGGTTTTATTGTTCGGAAAGGCAGAAGTCCAAAGGTTCTCAATTTCGTGGTGTCCTTCTGCCACTTCTGTTGGCTATTTTGATTGACCATTAGAGACGAAAGTCATTCATTAAACACCCAAATCTCACCACTTCGAGACAAAGCGGCGAGACGAGGAACATTGACAGAACACGGTCAGGTTCCATTACTGCTATCTCAAGGACGGTGTTGGTTGCTGAGGACACCCCAACCAGGTGACAAGGAGGCAAGTCCAACGAATTCTGTAAAGGGGGTTAATCAGAGCAATGACTACTACCGTCAACGTGCCATTAACTGGATTGCATCTTCAGCCGCCTCAACATGGCCATACCAATTTGGCGCTGGATCTCCGGTGGTTTTTCCGTGACCTCTACAATCGAAAGAAAGAAGATTGTACTGCCTTAATCTCTGGTCGCTAAATTGTGCTACCGCCGTCACGGTCAATATATCATCATGTTGTTGATATGTGAATTCACCTTGAAAAATGTGTTCTGCAAGAAAGGCCGGGTGAAAGAATACGATTGTAGGGAGGCTAGCGTCGATTTGCTCGGCCTCTTCAAAGTTGGGTGTGGATATTGTGTATTTGAATCGGGTTTTCCCCGTGCTAGAAGTGACTTCAGCAAAAGGCATGGTGGATGGGAGAGGATAAGAAGGCCTTGCGACATACAGGGACTGTTTATATAGCACCCCAGACCCAATGTAGGGGTTTGAAAAACGAGGTTAATAAGGATGCATATTTACATGTTTGGTTCTGTGGGTAGCAAAGTTTATAGCGATTCAGTGAGCTTCCATTATGTACATATCTCGTCAAGTAAGAATGTAAAAAAAAACAAACGAAATTTTGAACTGAAAGTCGCTCGATTCCCCTCTAGAGTAGAAAAAATAAACATCAGTCATGTCTTGCAACCATACTTACCAGCAGGATAAGAGGGAGAAGGATTTTACCGTCAAGGAAGGACAAAGACATAAGCGCCCTCTGTAGAAACTATGGAATTTTCGCTATATTTCATGCGCTCTACATGTTATATACAGTTATTGGAGTTCAAAGATACACCACACCTAACAAGATGATAGTAACAAGTTATTTCCTGGTCGAAGACTTTGTAGTTTTTGTGATGTGTCTGGGAGGGCTCTGATCATCTTCGTCAGATTCATCCTCAATCCGCGGGTGTTCTGCGTGAAAAGGCGACGTCAACGATAGCCATTTTCCAATGAGGGCCGCATTGTAACTTACTTGTGGCCCGACTGTTCGGGGGAGTTGCAAAGATATTGCGGTTCAAAGCCGCGAAAGAGTTGTTTCGGCTAGATGTAGCAACGGCGGTGCGAACTGAAGATGAGGCCGCAATTTTACTGGAAGACGCTTTCGCATTGGATTCACGCGTGTCAATTCTCCGTGAAGAAGGTACGAAAGAGTGACTTCTGCTATACGTTGGAACAGCAGTGCGGGCAGGAGATAAGGGCGGAGTTTTGTTGGAGGACACTTCGGCATCGGATTCATGCATAGGAGTTCTGATTGAAGAAGGTGCAAAAGAGTGGCTTCGGCTAGACGTAGCAACAGCAGTACGAACAGAAGATGAGGCCGCAATTCTGCTGGAAGACGCCTTCGCATTGGATTCATCCGTGTCAATTCTACGTGAAGAAGATGCGACAGAGTGACTTCTGCTAGATTGTGGAACAGTAGTGCGGGCAGGAGACGGTGCCGGAGATTTGTTGGAGGACGCTTCCGCAACGGATTCATGAATGACAATACTACTCGAAGATCCCTGTGAGCCACGACTATTCTCTTCCTGAATTCCGCGAGTGACTTTTGAGAGTGCTCAATGTCAAACAATGATTAGAGAAATTTTCAGTTTACCTTTATTGACATTCACTTTCTCATGGCCGTTGTTTCCATCTTCAGCTCGACGAGGACGAGCAAATGTATTATTCTGCTGTGGACGAATAGGGGCAGGAGTAAAATAACTGTTCCTTTCGGGCTTCGAAGTCACTTCAAATGTCTTCTGCTGCGGCCGTGCAGAAGCAGGGGCAGGCATAGACGTTTGGGAAGTGTTTCTTTTCGACTTCGATATTTCTATAGGACAAATCAGCGCTTCAGTCCGGAATTCGGAGTTCAACCTTACTAGGGTGTGGCAATGGTACGGCCTCGACGACTGGTTTGCTCCTCCTGCTTGAGTGAGACTGAGAATCGTGAGTGGAAGGGTTCAACGTGTTCAAATCTATAAACCTGTGCTTTGCCTTCGTCGGGATTCTTGAAGGGCTTTCTGTGTCCGCCCGGCGGTGTCGTTTGCTCAAGGCGGGGGATACTTCAGATATCTCTATACCGTCAAGATCAGAGCGAGATTCCGCTTTCTTTCGTTTCAAAGGAGGCGTGCTAGGTATGGAGCCCTTTCGGACTGCGATTCCATGCAGCGGGGTTGTGTTAGCATAATTCGTTGAAGGTATAGGTGATACGGCAGTGATTGGGAGGTTTTCTTCCACCGAGCTGGAAGCAGCCGCGGTACCTCGGTTCCTTTTTGTTGATTTTTTTCGATTGGATGCAAGCAAATCGAACCCCGAAGAGTTGGTGGTAACTGCGGCGGCAAAGAAATCTTCAGTATCGTCTTGGTCTTCCAGATCTATATAATGTTTTAGCTAGTAGCATGATAGTTGTCCAGCACAGTGCTCACTATCTTCAGCCTCTGCAGGATCTGTTGCATTCTCTGCTTCGGAAGTGGCTAAAAGATAAATGAGACTAGCCTCTACAAACGATTGGCTGATGTTGAGCATTGATTCAGCTCACCGTCTCTGAAACCATTTCCGTCGGTGTCATCTGTTTCAACGCGACTTGTCCATCCACTATCCGTCTCGTCAATGAAACTTTGAGCCCCGCTGGCATCGGTGTCGTTAACCTGGGCCCCGGAAGAGCGAACTTCTTCGTCCTGTTCAGTAGTCCCAACCCGATTCCGCTTCTGATTCCCGTCTGAGTAGATGGGAGTCTGAAATATATCAGCATTTGTTTAGACAAAATAGTTTATCTACCTACATCATCACGATCAGCCTTCTTGTCATCATTTGTATTCCGAGTCACCCTTTCTTCAGCTACTTCCGAGTTGCCTTCATTCGTTGCAAGGACCTTGTAGGAAGGAATACTTTTAGCATTACTCCTGTAAAGAAAGGGTTGCTCACTTCATTCGTTCCCCTTGTCTTACTTCGCTCATTTTGCTCGACTTGAGGAGCATGCTTGGCTTTGGCCTTGGATCCTTTGACTCGCCTTCTGTTTTTGCTACCCTCTACTTCTTCTTCTGCATCGATCGCCGAGTCTTCTAACTCATCTTCAACGATTAACTTCCCACTGAGAGAGTCAGTGAGATCTAAACATTACACCGAGTTAAAGGTAATTCGCAACGTCATTTATACAACCTACCCTGGCCTAATTGCTTGTTGAGGAATGCATCAAACAGATGCTCCTTTCCTCGTGAAATGTTATAGATTATTATATCTGATGAATCGTTCGCAAGAAGATGGATAACTCTGACGACTTTTGATTGCGGCTGTCGGTGCGCACGGCCACGAATTTGACGTTCATCCTGGGCAGACCAAGGTTGATCCTGCATATCAATATAAGTAGATATAAGCCAGTTCTTCTGAGGGGAGAACATAACTTACAAAGAATATAACAACATCGGCAATGGACAGGTTGAGACCAACCGTCCCAACGCTAGAAAAGATAAGCACTCGAGGCCCACCATCTTGCTGGAATGCAGCAACAACGTTGGCCCGTTTATCAAACGAGTCATTTCCATCAATGGTGAAGCATTGAACGTCATAAATATCCAAGACCTAAAGAGGACAAATGAATGACAACGAACTTAATGACAGATGAAGTTGCGCACTTTGACAAGCAACGAGGTCATAGAAGGAAACTCAGAGTATATGAGAATTTTCCGGGTTTTCGAACGACCTTTCGGGCCATCCGACGGTTTCAATTTGGGAAAAACTGGCTTTCCGTCGATAAATTCCACATCTGGGACATCATCATCAAGGAGGTAGTGTTGACAAATCTGTGCACAAACGTCCATTTTCGTGGACTTAATCCTATTCCACTGGTCTATAGACTCGAAATCAGGATTTGGACTGCCGGGGTCAGTTTTCGGGAAGCAGAGAGTGAGACGATATTCCATGTAAAATTTCTATTCAAGGATCAGCGAGTAGATGTTAGATCGAAACTCTGAGTGCACGTACGCGTGTTGTGAATTTTCCGGCTTCGTTTCCTGTGGACGCACTTGATTTGGTTAATGAGTAACGTTCTTACACATATTAGCTATTAATCACCTAGCCTGGGCATCTTGTTGACGTTGAACTAGGATTTCCATTTCGCGATCACTAAGAGTGAGGACTCCCACTATAGTTTTGAATGGGGGAAGGTCCAGCAGTCTTTTTCCAGACCAGTCTCGGGAGTCGATTGTTCGTCTAAGGACATGGCCCAAGAACTGGGCCTGTATTCTCCGTACTGCCCGAATTTGAACCTGCTGTAAAGTCAATCCGTCGTCCTCTACTTTCTTTGCCTTCCGTATAGCAGCCGCATCTTCTTTAGCCTCTTCCGCAGAGTCCTTGGTCATGAAATGGGGAATTCCAATCAGACGCGCTAAGCTGGACAAATCCTATAAGGTATATCGTGAGATACAGCCAATGACAAAGGAGAGGAGAGTGAACGAGAGTACCTTCGAAGAGGTCAATAGAGGAGTCGCGGTTAGGACAAGCTTGACAGCGCCAAGTTGGAGCGCTCGCATTCCTGCGAAGTACTTGATGCCCACATTTCGCATTTCGTGGGCTTCATCTATAGTGACCGTTAGGAACTTTTGGTTGAAAAGAGTTCCTGAGCCGTCATGAGTCTGTTCGGGGAGCTGCCAAGGCCGTGAGGTCAGTACACCTCTTTCTAGACTTTGTCTGCTAATTCTTGAGTAGTCGTTTTGTAGCGACTAAAATGGCCATCAGTATACGAATATATGTGACGATATTGATTTACCGAGTGCGTTGTAAGAATAATTTTATTCTGGGGCTCTTGCTTTGAACTATGGAATGCTCCAGTCGGGCTCCAAAATGCAGCATTGCCAGTTTTTGGGCAATCGTAGAAAAAGATATCGAGGCTCCTTGGCCTGAACAGGGTCTGGATCTCATTACGCCATTGCGACCGCAGAGTACCGGGAGTAATTATGAGATGCGGTAAAGGTTCGATTTGTTCTTGGCCTTTAAGGAACTTGAATGTTTCTGTGGAATGTGAATCGCAACCCGATAGACAGCTATTCAAAGGACTCACTTAAGATCGGCGGCATTTCGTATGGTTGTTTGTGCTTCTGGATCATGACAGCCTGGTTCAAGAAAGCGATTAAACTAAGACATTGGGCAGTTTTTCCTAGCCCAACTTCGTCAGCCACTAGAACGCCAGTACAATGGTCTGCTACAGCAGTTTTGGTAAAGACGCTGCGGACGATGGAGTGAATTCCTGCTAGTTGGTGCCAATGCAGAGATAGTGGGTGAAGATTTCGACGGTTATCAGCCTCTGTCTCAAATTGCGTTGGTTTATCCCACGGAGTAACCCCATTCATGGATCGTAGAGTGTTGAACTGATGCGGTAAACGTTGTCGTAAGAAACCAAGACTTGCAGCCAACAATTCTGGTCTCATGTCGCTCTCCATTTCCATGCCTAGGTCACCGCCCTCGACGTCTCGAAACTTGAAAGATAGTTGAACAGTCTGGTCGATCAGAGGACGTCGATCATCATCGTCTTCTGGTGACTGAAAGTACTGTTGATATACGTCCATGAGATCTCTGAGATCCCCTGCTGTGGCGAGTTCCTTGAACGATTTTTCTTTGCCTTTGGAGAGCCCTAACACGGAAGCCAGTGAGTGTTTACAGCTTTAGTCAACAGAAAGCACATACGAGCCTTCGTCCCCTCTTTCCGTGGTGCCACTTGAGCTCCCATTGCGGACAGAATTTCATTTAGGCGGTCCAGTAGCTCTATGGCCTTTGTCGTATTCTCTGCGGTCCCATAAACATCAGCGACCTCCTTCCATTTGGCCACAGTTCGAATGGTGTGCGTTATTTTTGCTTTTGTGGGTTTACCCTTATTGAGCGCTGCTCATCGAAGTCGTAAGCGCAATGTTATGACAAAGAGAAAGAGTCCACCCTACCTTCAAAAGAGTTCACTGCAGCCTCTTCGAGTTTTGGAAGCCGAATGCGATCTCTTACAACGTGGCGACGGATGATATCCCAAGAATGCTGTATAAATATGGTCACCGGCCTTCTCAAATCGATCGGAAGGACGAAGGCTTCTGTCGGGAACACCTCCGTGCCAAAAAGAGCGAATCCCACATTGTCCAAGGCGCAGGATACGTAGAAGTCTGCATTTGGCCAGGTCGCATTTATGCTGCCTTCGTTCAGGAGAACGGTGATGGGGTGAACAGACGACTTGTGTAGACCTTCTGTGATGGCACGGTGTATGTCCCACTTTCTCCAGCTTTTAGTCACCCAGTCTGCCCACAGTTTACGACCAGGGTGTGCAGTAGCACCTTTCGTGCTTCGAGCGAATTTGATCTTGCGATCTTCCGTGTCAAGAGCATCGTAAGCTTTGAAATAAGAATAAATCGCATCCGCTGTGTCTCTCGTCCAACCTTCGGGAAGATGTTCGTCCTCTTCAGGAAAAAGTCCGTATTTGATCCCTGTACGGTCCTGCCAAGTCGACCATTGCCACGGAGAGCCGTTTTGGAAGAAGAGTTTGATTAAGGCACTAGCTACGGTATGGCTAGGCATATCTGAAGATCACTGGTGAGAAACGAACGATTTTGAAGAGACAGCCTAACTTTGTCGCAGATGCAAGGATGTAGATGATGGATGTTAGAAAAAAAAATTTGAAACTTTGGGGACAGTTGAAACGTTCGTTGGTTAAATGTGCGAACACCGCCGCTTGCGATCGCCCAGGTAGGAAGATGGATTTCGAAGTCAGCTCTAAGTAAGAATGAAGCGACAAATAAACTTGTAGACTGTTTGGGAAACATGTGTGTGACGCAATAAGGCAGACCCCGAGGTTTTAACAACAATCTGAATGCGAATGGAAGGGTGCGAGTTTTCAGTATTTCATGGCATCCATTGCGTGTCCACGAGCGGAAAAAGGATACTGACCTATCGTCGTTGGTCCATGTTGAAAGCCAGGAAACGATTTTCTTCTGGATATCACGGAAAGGATTACACCGTGTTCGATGGAGGGATGGGGCCATTGTGTACCAACTAAGCTCAGAGAAGTTTGATGATGGGAGAATCTACTGGAGGCCAGGGGCTATGTATGCAAGTTCATCATCTTCTGGAATCCAGCAGGTAGTCTATAGGAACGTATTGGGCGCTAAGTAATGAATCACAAATATAAATGCTCTAGATAGACCTGGGACGGTTCGCCGAAAAAGGGTACTCCAGTATAGTGGATACTCATAGAAAGCCTCGTAAATCGGAGCTGGACGGCACGATGTTATCAAAGGGTCAGCTAGACAGGCTTATGCGACTTTTTACATTAAGTTTACTGCCCCTCCCTTCTTCAAGTTGGAGACACAGTCCGCAAATGGATGGCCTGTATTCTTCATTGCCGCCAAAGGCCTACAGCTTGCGAAATTTTGTTCGTACAGGAAGTGCTCTTGATAGTCCAGACATCGATGGAGATGCATACTTGCTATTTCTGCTGACCGGACAACATGTCCTGGAAGAGCATCAAGCCGTTATTGACGCTAGAAGAAATACCCTTAATGACGACCATTCCGTCGGGGCATCTAGAGACTACGATTCTCTGATTGGAATTGCGGATAATATTCTGGTGAACGCTGCAATATCGGTTTATCCGGCGCCCAATCCTGCAGAGGTTTTGTCTTCTAGTATTCACCTCAAAATTCGATTGCCTTCTGGAGATGTGAGTACGAATGCTTTCAGTATATTTCCCAGTTCACCTTTTGTTCTCAGAACCATAAATTAGTTCCCATCCACCGCATTCCGAATTTCCAATTTGCTGTCTGGGGAAACCGCTGCCAAATACACATATTCTTTCCCGGCATAGCGTCTCGAGGTCCGGAAGACTTGGCTCGACAATTGTCGAAAGAAGAAAAAACAACCTTCTACGAAATTGGCCTCCGTCCTGCAATCGCAGCTTTGTTACCCGAAGATATATCAGATTGGCCACCGACTTATGACGGAGAACTGTTTCGTGCCCGGAAGCAGAGTGGCCATATGTCTTATCAGACGAAAATTATTCCAGAACTTGAGGTGCCCAACTTAGTAGGTCGTATTCGAAGAAACCTCGAGGATGCAAACGTCGATTGGGCCGAAAGTTTCTTCTTCACACACACTGTGCGCGGTTTTAAGCACGGGACTCAGCATGAAATGAACGAAGATGAAGCACAACTGGCCCTTGACATCTTGTTGAATCACGCAAATTTATCGAGGGACGCAACTGAGAGGGGGGAATGGTGGATTGATGTGGGGCTCGAACTTTGTAGCGACATTCAGAGCTGCCTTCAGTGGGCGACAACATCGCATTATCACATGGTGAAGGAGGTGTTGAAGATATCCGAAGCAAATGCAAGCCGAATTACTTCTTTGGGTAGCTCGAAGTACCAGAAGGACATTGTGAGCCACATCATGGACGTCGCTGGATGTAGGATTGAACCTGGGTCCCGAGCACAAGGCGAATATGAAGCAGTTTACTTTCAGCTATACACGACGGACAAAGCTATCACCTACAACCCAGAGGGCAGGCATCACGGTAAAGCCATCTCCACTAATTTAGCGATGGGTCCTACACAACCGCCGACTTTTATTTCGGGGTTGTTCGAGCTTTTTACGAATGCGATGACAAGAAACTCATCAAACGCTCGTATCGAAGTTCGAGTACCGATACGCCATGCTACAAGAGTCCTAGTGACAATAGACGTTGATCTTGTTCGACGAAATTTGCTAGCATTCCCTAGGTCCACTTGGTGGTACGTGAATTGAATTGTTGGATCATCAGAACAGAATGGTGATTATTGAAGGACTTTAGGAAATTTCGAGCTCAACGTGTCGAGGCTATCAGCCGAGTTCTAATGCGACAACAAGAAGGTGACCCCCAGCTTCGAATTAAACCGGCTGCTCTTCAGCTTACAGCGGCATGCGTGTGGCTTCTGAACGGCCTTCATTCTCGGCCTGATGACGGGTCCGCAGCTCGCAATCTTATGACGACAGTCTTGCCCCTAACGGATTCCCTGGATCCTGACCCAAACACTGTGCTCTTTCTTTCACAAGAAGAAGACTTCTCAGAATTACCATATAATCCCTTCGGTGTCATCTTCCTTCGCTGCATATCACTGAAGGTTCCTGTGCCGAGGATGAGGCACAACCCGGAGGTCTTTCTCTTGCCGAATTCCTTCCAATACCTCTTCAACGCAACACAAGAGGAGATTAGATACAAGTACCACTCCATAGGTGTTGTGCCGCGGCATGTTGAAGCGCAACGCAGAATCGTCACCAACAAAACCAGGAGAACCAAGAGGTTCATCCCAGTCGATGAGAGACTTCCGGACTCCCAATTCAATCTTGGGTCGAGAGGCTACGCCCTTCCACCGCCTCCTGCAGATGATGGATCGGACAAAGAATGCGGAAGTGAGGAAGAAGGTAACCTCGACGCAAAATTGACATCAATATGGTTCCAATTTCTGCTCGACATGGCGGATAGATCTCCGGCGCCCAAAAGGTCTTCGTCTGCATCTTATTTGAAGTTGACCAGTGCGCAGAGGCAACACGCTGGCGAAGAACTATACATGAATCTCAAATTGTCAGATGTATGGACAGCCGTTCGATGGAAACTAGGCACACCATCAGAGTTTCAAACAGCCTTTGGTAATCTCTTCCCGGAAAAAGATCACGAAACCCAACCCAAAGTACAAAACTACACGCAGTGCAGGTACTACATGGAATGGAAGACAATTTGCGCATCGGGGGATGCAAAAACTATCACGGCAGCTCGACAGGAGCTCTGGCGCAAAGTTCTTCGCCTTCAGTGGATTCCTCAGGCAGCGTCTGATAAGATGTGGAATACGCAGCAGCCCAAAAGGCAAGATGCCTCAGTGAGGTTCCCGCCTGATTCTGAGGGCCCAGCACCACGTATACTGTGTAGACGGAAGCCCACATGGTGATTTTAGGGAGAACGACTCTTGATGTATAAACGAGGCATGATATCTTGAATGAAAATCACAATTAGCAAAAGGACATGACGATTATAAGAGTGAATGAATAACCTGAAGTTGCACGCAACATCAACGCCGCAGTTGATCTAGTACATTGGAATGAGAAAAATATTTCCCACAAGCAACACTGGGAATCATACCATCGACAAAAGATGAAGGTGATTGCTCAAGTCTTTGACATTTATACGCCCAAGGCAGCAGCAATAGCGCCTAAGCACTAAATTTGAATCAACAGCCATCTCCACAGCTACGATGACGGAATACAGGCCTGAAATACAATACAGAATGAAACCGCAACTGAAATCCACTCGATTATATTTCTATACATAACAAAGTCCTGGTTTTTCCTTTGTGATGTTCGTCAGTTCTGCGACGACTTTCATTACCGCATCCAAACCTCACACCACTGGAGGTGTTAGTTTTCGCCCATTTTCACATTCACCGTCTTCGAAGACAGAGAATACTGTCCGTCGTCTGCGCTTTCGGCTAGGAGGACACGCATGATTGCATATAAACTTCGTTCAGCAATCTCATGGGGACGAGGACTTTAACGTGGGTCAGGTCAAGGTTGAACCTAATGCTGATCCGAACCTTTCTTGTGAGTAAAATTGCCCCGTTCGGGCTTGAGTTCCATTTTGTCGAAACTGAAAGAAACGTCAACGCGTGAAAGAAGGAATCAGCTTAATACTCACCTGGGTTATCGTTCTTAGTTGAGCCAATTACACTCTCAGTAACATATTCAAGGTACTTCTCACTATATGGACCGATAAGGGAGGGTATTAATACCGAACGATATAACGAGAGAATGAGATCTCCGTCTAACTTACACGGGCATGAATTGGTTAGTTGGATAGATATTTTGGTTTCCTCTTGGTGTCGGTCTCTGCCTCTTGGATCGCAGAGTGAAACGCAGACGTTGCGGACAGTTGATTGATATTCGAGAATAGAACGAAAGGGGGATGGGGTTTCATAGAAGGAGCCGACAGAGAAAAGCAACTAGAAAGTACAAAGCGAAGAGAGAATTTTTTCCCACGAAACGAACCAGAGGTCATACCGTCGACGAAGGACGGTGGTGATTCACCACCGTCCTTCGTCGACGGTATGACCTCTGGTTCGTTTCGTGGGAAAAAATTCTCTCTTCGCTTTGTACACTTCCGCCGTCGACGTCATGCTTCATTTGTTCTATCGTACATACGCCACGTTGAGTTAGATCACTTCTCGTAGTTGAATAAACAACACCTCGATGAATGCGCCGCAGACTTCGATGTCTCTTACTCTTCGTCTTGTTTGTCCGCTGTTTCCCTGTGCCTCAAGACGATTCGAACACGAGCGTGTAAATTTTTACAGGCACATTTAGACTTAGTCTCTTTTAGAGGGACGCGCTGTAGGAGATCTCCACAGGTCAGAAATATGGCGAGATTTTTTGAATCCTTCTCGACTTTCTGCGCATTGAACTTCAGAAAAAGTATTTGGCTCGACAAAGGTTTCAACTTGTTTCTGCCTAATGATTCCATCCATTTAAGCTCCTTATATTTTCACCCCTTGCTACCTTGTTTTGAGATTCTTGCAATCTCAAAGTCGCGCTTGAAGAAGAAAACACAACCCGGTAGCTGTAGAGGTTCTAAGGTGTTCTTCAGAGAGCAATGGAGTTGGAAACGAAGACGACGATGGAGGACGAAGGACGACCAGCGACAACAAGAGGACTGGGCAAGCGATCGTAGTAACCGCCTCTAACCCTTCACAGAAGTCCTTTAGCAAAGAACCCGACCGCCAGTGGATCGTTTTATGTTTTAGTCCGTTTTGAACGTTCTTTTTCTGTTGATTAACAACTTACAGGTGTCCAGTCTCTTCTTACACCGAGAAGGAACAGAGGATATTCTTGATTTCTGACTGGACGTGCAACAACATGAAAACTTGTCCCGTGCCTATTTCGAAGAGATGTTCGTAAGTCTGGTCGCGCCAGCAAGGAAGATTGGCCGCAATATTGGGACTACGCACGGCGGAGAGGGTCCATCTACGGCACCGTTGTTGGGCTTAATCCAGATGGGATGCATACGAAACGTAGTACTGCCAGTACGGGAGAACTACCGAGTGAACAAGACAAGCAAGCGAAGTTTGGCAGCCACAGACAAAAAAGCAGCCGGTCGTTCCACCTCGCCTTCCACCCGGCATTTCAGAAGATACACATATCGCACCCACAAATTCCAAGAATGACCGAACAACAACGCCGTTTTCCTCGTTTGGTCGCAAGCTCACTCTGTTCGACTTGAAACGTGCTTCTCGCGCACCTACAGTCATCCGACGATCCTCAGCGATCACACGTCAAGACCTTATAGCTTCTGCCAATTGCTTTGGTTCGACCCGCGGACAGTTGTTTAGCCGGTGGAAAAACCGACCCAGAGGGCCGTTTTTATATTAGGGTGATAGCGGTGCGAAGTAAGGTGTCAAAAAGTTCAAGAAAATACCGAAACTGGGGCTATAGGGCTATAGATGATTCAGTAGATGTTGGTTTCGGTTATGCTCGATGAGTGGCAAGCATGGCGTTGAGTACAAACGGGTTCTTTCTGATGTAAAGCTGGAATGTGTCAGATGCCCACCGCCCAGCAGCTTGAATAGCTTGAGGAGGGGCGCCGTCTTCTGCCATTGCAGTGGCGCCTCCTGCTCGCATTGACTGGCCAGCCCAGCGGGTGTCAGGTTTGAGGGCGCGGAGCCGGTGCATAAACCAAGACCTGGTGGGGACGGAGCCTGCTGAGGAGACCCACAGATGGGGGTGGAAAGGGAAACGTTTGTCACGAAGTCGAAGGTATTGTTATTTCCGTCGGACAGGTTTACTACGAAGCTTCTTCAGTAGATCTCGAGCCTGTCACAAATACCTGAGAGGTAGGTTCCAACTGAACGTGGCTCGATGTGGTGTGACATGTAGACGATGAAGAAGGAGAGGGTGTCGGGGGTGGGGTCAAGTGGGAAGGAGTGCATGGTACAGCACGCGATGTAGGAGTTAAGATGGGAATTGTATGAGCGCTGAGAAGAGACATCGGTAGCGAGTCCGAGCGCAACGTTACGGCCTCGCACTAGCTCTGCTATGGACCAGGGTTTCCGGGTAGGTTGCCTGGCCGATGAGAGTTCAAGGGTCATTTTTTCATTTCCCCCAGCGTCTTAGGGGGGTTTTCAGTGGTAATATTGATATATTCGGTTGCAGTTGTCGGGCTCTTTCAAAGTCGAAACGAGTTGTCCCATGTTATTGGAAACTCGTCTCGAAGACGAGTTGTTGCCCAAGGCCAGAAACCTTCCTTTAGCCCAATTAGTATTGACTTCACGAAGGGTTGGTTAGGGTGAGCATGCAACATCGTTTCCAGGCGGTCTACATTGACGGGAGTCTGCACCCGAAACAGGTGCGGGTTTTTCTGGATTGTGTCCCATGCTAGACCCTCGAACTCTGCTAACGCGGGTTCGGGAGTGGGTCATCAAATTCAGTGAAGCTTGCTGTACGACTGTGTAGTGGCTCAGCATTGTCCCTGAACCCAAAACCTCTCATGAACCGGGGGAGAAAAGAGCTGTCTCCCTCGCTCACTGCATTTCTTCTCCCCTCGGCCTCATCACCTGCCCCCACCCTTTGCTTCCCTATCTCACTCCTCTCCTCGACTCCTTCATATACGTCGTCAAAGCTTGGGAAGAAGTCCACCGCAGCTTTCCAGAAGTGGGCTAGGGGAGGAAGGCTAGCCGAGGGCTCAACCAATTCCTGGTCACTTCCTGGCCGTTTTTCTGCAATCTTGTGCTCCGTGCCCTGACTCTCCACACGTGGAGCAGAGGTGCCTTCGTTCGCCGCCATCGCAGTTTCCCCGATTGAACTTCCTGCAAATTTCCTTGGTCCTATTGCGAGGGCGTGAACTCCCTTGGTCTGGTCTAGGTGCGGAGAGAGTTGAGATTGAGAAATGCGTCCCAGTAGGGAGGAGGTACATTGTTCTGAATCTGGCGACCTCGGCATGTTCAAACTCGTTGAATAGGATATCGCGTCGGGACCCAATGAGCTGACGCACGGCTTTATCGTAGTTAATGATGTTCCGGTGGAAACTGGTAAGGTTGTCATCGACATCGAAGAGTCGCCCAATGTGCTCTTCGTAAGCAATGAGCTCGGTACGCCGGTTGGTGAATGCGAAAGAGATCGCATCTGCTGTAGCTCTCCACGCTCGGCGCCATGTAGTCTGGTCAATGATGGCTTTCGTGGGTGCCGGTTTGGCCAAGGTGGATAACTCAAGGGCATCTGCGAACTTGTTGGAGGCTGGTCGCGGTGCCTCTGGGTGGTGGTAGGTTGCAACCAGCGCGTGTACTTCGGCAGGTTCGATATACTCGTCCCGGAGGACTGACTTCCAGAGCCTTTTGGGGAAAATGGGGTTGACACCACTTTGCTCAATACTCTCGATGGTTTCATCAAGGTCAAGTTTGAAGTTCTCGATCTCCTGGATGATCTTCCGGTGTTTCGGGGAGAGAACGGATTGCTTGATAAACGCATCAGCAGTCCAGTTGAAAAGGGTCTTGTCCTGCTTGGCGCGCTTTGCTGGTTTCTCCCCCCGTCTTTCGTCGTCACTCTCGTCCTCTTCATCGGAGGAGTATTGATAATTTCTCCTCGTTGACTGGGCTCGAGCCTCTCTTCGAGGGACTTCCTCTTCAAGTCTCGCTCTACTGTTGAGCAACCCTTCGGGTCTTGTTTGTCTGATGTCGCCCTCGCCTCTAGGTTCCCTAGGCGGTGGTAGAGGGGTAACGCTCCCTGAACGAGGTTGCTGACCTGGACCACCTCTTCCCTGGGACCCTTCCTGGGTTGCACCGTGAGTCTGTCAAGCAAGGAGGGCCTCAATGCCTGGTAGTCGTACTTCCCCCTCATTTTGTCGAGGTTCCCGACGACGGCCTTCTCTTTCTGCATGGGCAATACGCTGCTCATGGTTATCAATGATTTCGAGCCAGGGCTTGAGGCTGTCGCCGAGACTATATTCTGCCCCGAGTTGGAAAGTACGGAACACCGTTTCCAGGTATGTTCGCATGGAGCTACGACCGGCATCTGGTGAGATGCGTCTCTCGGTGACTCTATTGGTGATGGCTTGTAGGGTGCCATGAGCAAGTCGGGCTGCCTCTTCGGTAGTTGATCCTGCTGGAGGGAGTGCGGGGGGGAACGAAAGTCCCTCCCTCTGTTGTTGTTGACCATCGGACATAGGTTTAACTTGTTACTTGATTCGACAGATAGCGCTTGCGCAGTAGCAACGATAAACAGCGTAGATAGTGTACCGTAACTAGTAGAATCAGTGAAGGGAAATGGGGAGATGAATATAGGGATGAGAGATATGTACAGTAATACGAGAGGCAGATATTGAGCATACCTAGTAGGATCGGTGAAGGGAGAAAAAAGAGAGGAAGCGAGGGGAGAAGACTACGATGTGAGTACTTATATCATGCGAAGTTCAACGGCGTATATATGTCAAGTATGTAGGCGAAGACAACATGCAGCGTAATGTTTGAAATGCAGCCCGCTGCGACACTGCTAAGCGGCCATCTCACTTGTAGACCTCAGGAGGGCGGACCCATGTGAACCTGTAGGTGGGGATGGCCTTAGCGAGGTGTGTGTATCATACCTGCAAGGCTAAACTCACCTGCTATTAGTCTTGCGTAGACTATCGTCTAAGCTCGATCAACAGTAGGAAACACAGTGAACTCGCAGGAGAACCAGGAAATCTACCTTCCTCTCTCCGAATCCATTCCTTCCCACTAAATTCATCGGCCGAACCGAAAGCTCAATCCGAAATGGCTATCATGGGTCAAATTGCTGATATGTTCCATACACAGAAGGAATGCTGTTTCCGTGCGATGGAACAACCAGGAAACTATTGAAAGTTTCTGATACTTACCCAGCCGTTCTTCGCTCTTTGCTCCTGAATCCTGTAATTCAAATGGTAATTTTTTATGGGTAGTAATAATTGAATAGTTAGTTATGCAGTTAGTTGATAATTATAAGTGAACGTATAACAGTAAAAGAACATTTCAAATAAATATAGTGCACTCAATCATATCACTAAGATACATCCACTAAGAAATACAAGCGCTAATTAGGAATTCAATTGATCCTAGGACCTGTCTTTATGCTTTCTCTTCTTCGTTCGTCTACCTGAGAAGTCTAAATCTAATTGCATCACTTGTCCTGGAGGTTGTGCCTTAAGCCTTATTTGTGCGACCAGGGAATTCCCCTTTTGTCTCATATATTCTGACTCCTCTACCTCTACCAGATAACGGCGAGGGACTGTGAGAAGGGGTTCCGTCGTAAGCTCCTCTGTGTAATTCATTCCTCTCCCAGGAAGCCTATAAACTCGCACAACCTTGCAAACAACCAAGTCATTCCCCTCCGGACTATCGTCAGCGACGTGTGTGATTCGACGAACTAACTTTCCTATGTTCTCATTGAGAATAGGGCTCTCTTCCTCCCCGTCAGCAATCATGTATAGCCCACGCAATCTAGCAATGGTGCGAGGTATGATTTGAGTTTTTGGCGCGCCGGGCTCATAGATGTCTGTCATTGACACCGTTACAACGTCAGATTGTTTTCGGCCTGTTCTGAGGTAGACTTGCAATTCGTTGTCAATGTTGTACGCAAGGTAGACAGGAATGTCTTCTGGGGGATCTGATGCATAAGGCCCTCGACGAATGATGACATGAAATTCCAAGAATCCGAGGGAAAGCTTGAAACGTGGATCTAACAGCCAATTATCAGCAGATGTTGGAATTGGGTGGCTCACTGCACGGCTCAATTCAGCATGAGCCGAATGTTTGAACTGTGCCTCCATATCTGCTTTTTCATTGGCAAGTCGAGCCTCCTGAAGTACATCCGTTTCATACTTGGTGTAACGGGGTTGATATCCGCTTTTGAAATGATAATATGAATCGCGTTTCTCCTCCTTCTGAATAGAATCATCGTCCAGGAATCTGAAAGTTCTGTTGTAGTTTAAAAGCAAAGTGAGAAAAATATCATTGAACACATCAAAGCACTTACTCTTGACAACGTAGGTCATCATAATCGACCCAGTCCTCTGGAAAGTTCGGGTTGTCGTAACTTATCAGGACCTTGAGACCGCTCTTCAAACTCAAATCTCTCCCAACATCTTTCACGACAGCATGAAATCCCTTTCGTGCAGAATGTCTAATGCATATACAGCGAAATCCCAGCCAGGGAGGGGTCGGAGTGTTTGCATTTTTTTCAATTGACAGAGGTTTACGGTTCAGAGAATTTTGTTCATGTTTCGATATGTACGGTGCCTCCGGGCTAACCTCCGCGAAGTTGTTGACAGATCCAGAAGGTAAATTCGGCCCATGTTCAGCACCTGTATCCTGATGAATAGGTAGAGCTTTGCCTTCAGACACTTGTCGTAGAACGTTGACGTGAAATGACAAGCTCAGACTGTGAGAAAAAACCACCTTGCTCCAGGGTTTTTCGCCATCGCCGATGACAAGTCCAACAAAGTCTTGATCGGGTGTTTGCACGCAATCACCGACTGAGAAAGACTTGCGTAGCAAGACTTTCGGAATACGCTCTCGATCGAATTCTCCAAAAGCGACTACACATTCCAACTCCAAAACCTCTTCAAGAACACCATCAAGGTCTTGCAAGCGCATAAAATTACTATGCAAAGGGAGCTTATTACCGTCGAAATGAGCAACCCGGACTCGGTCATGTTGTTCGAAGATCCAATTTGAGGGAGGAGGCATAGCAGAAGTAGCGATAGAATTTAATAGAGGGTGCCGCGAATCTGCAAACATGTCAAATAATTTTGGGTCCATAAACGGGGGCGCCTTTTTCATGTCAGACTCATCCAACACGACGGTCGTAAGTCGGGCTTCTAACAAATGTTCAAGGTACCAGTATAAACTTCGATGGAACGGAAAGCAACTTTGGGGATCATTGCAATCGAAACAACCAACGTGCTGAGGCCTTTGGATTTTGACAGACGCGGCGAAGGTTTGTGTAAACTCGATATCAAAAAGCGCGGGTTCTGGTCTGATCGGAAAAAGGGAGGTGCGACCACGGCCACTGCGACGGAGCCTCTTCTGAAGCTTCTTCTGTTCCTTCAAAAAATCGTCAAGTATGCGGGCGTTCGTTGGAAGCCGCGGTATCAAAAGTACCAGACGCATCGTTTCGCCTGCATCTTTCATACGATCGTCGTTATCCGAGGATATGACGCACCCCACGTCACCTTTGTAAAGATGATTCCGAATCTCGACCCATGAACCGGGGGGGAATTTGAGAGACACATGGTTCAGTTCCAGTAAAGAGTCGCCGCGCGGAATAAGATGATGAATTGGCATGCCTAAATTACTTGTTTGCCAAAATACAGGAAGTTTCGCATCACGCCAGATCGTACGATCTTTCTGCGCAGAAGGATTACTGGGCCTACGATTGTATAAGAAACCCTCGACGTGGTGGAGATAGGTTGCCAAAGGGGTATTCGCAGATGACATGTTGGGGACTTGCAGATATAACCACCCGGGAAGCCTGGAGCGATAGACACCTGCTATTAAGGTGCGGGTAGGAGGGAACAAGAGATTTGGTGAGGGAATATCTTGCAAGAGGTCGGCCGCGATTCTTCTATATATTGATATCTCCTTACCGCGCTGTGTACACGGTTGTGAAGGTGAATACAACTTTCCTGCGAATACAGAGTGCTTACCTGGACGCGAACCAGAAACAACGGATAACTTGAGAACAGAGATGAGGCAGCGGGTTGATTGAGGAATTTAATCAGAGTGTCCAAGGGAAAACCATGGATCATGGGTGCTTCCGTTTCATCATCCATTTTCACAAGAGAAGTTGATGAGGGAGATGATGATAATACAGGCATGTCGGTTGGAGGAGAATCTCGACTTGAACTGATACAACGCGCCTCGATCATTTCAATTATGTTTTGAAACACCCGAGGTCCTTGTTCCGTCATCCTCTCTGGGGTGTGCGACCGGCTAGGTGGCTCTGCGCTCTCCTCCGTGGTGATCTTCGGAGCCGTGGTGTTATCGACGAGTGAAGTTGAGGTTATTACATGGAGAGGAGGAGTGTTTACACGAAGAGGGGTCTCTGCACGAAGAGGAGTTTCTGAACGAAGAGGAGTCTGTACGCTGTCATATACAGAACTCAATGTAGGTGTATGGAGGTAGTTTGCGCGTTCATCATTCAAAGGAGTGACGGCTCGAAGAGGTGTGTCGGCACCATGAACCCCCTCTTGATAATGGGAAACCCACTCCGCTGGCCATTCCCGCTTCTCGATTATGTTTTCATTGTCGTCTTCGTTGTAGAATTCCTCATCCTCGTATTCATCCTCGTCTTCTGAATCGTTACCTTCTTGGGCGGATACGTCCAAGAATCGGGAGACTTGGCGTCTTCGAGTTGTTGCCTTATGTATTCAATGAGCCGCGGAACATCGAAACGTTTGAAGGAGTACAATACTAACTTTTTCAAATTCCAGACGCTCTCGTTTACTTTTTGACATTATGCATCGCTGTCTTTAGTCTGCTTGGAAGCATCTCTACAGATGCTCATTAGTACTAATACATGACTGAATAATTACTGTACAATATTGACCTAAACGACGAGGACTTACCATGATGAACGTTGACTTCGACGGAACAAAATGATTCCCACGAGCAAATGTGATGATCATACCGTCGACGAAGGACGACGGTGATTCATCCAGCGCTAATAAGTCAGCGCGTGATCCCGGATCGCCGGATCGTCAGATGAATCACCTACGTCCTTCGTCGACGGCATGATCCTCGCGTTTGCTCGTGAGAAAGAATTCTCTCTTTGCTCTGCACTAATTTGACTCGTTTTTTCAATGCTCAGCCTCAGTGGCGCTTCAGAGCTACATCTGCTGAGCAGATTTTACGGATTCAGGACGAATTTAATGGGGATTCAATGCAGTGAGTGGATCCCATACTTATAGATGATCTTACTGACAGCGTCTGTTTCACTAGAGTCTATACCTGCCGGGTTCAAAGGTTCATTATTGATGCTCAATCCGTTCTGTTCACCACCTTTAGAAAAAACATGAACATATTCAAGGCTATCGCGAGACGTCAACAAGGACTTGCTTTCAACTGGAATATCGGGCGGTCTGTCATCTCTATTGACGGATTTTCCATCGTGGTATCTTCCTTCATAGACGGCGTTTATCGTAACTTCAAAGACGTCGATGCAGCCACTAACAACTCTTCCGTGGCTGCTCTCATCCCGACATTCTTCTGCACATTGACAACGCAATGGTACTTTATCAGACCGGTCAACCGAACTGGTTCAGAGATCGACCTGGGAAGAGCGACGTTCAATGTTTGTTTATTTTTTGAAGAGGCTGAGAACGGGTTCAAAGATTTTCAGCCCCCGTCCTTCGGATCGTCTATCTCGAGACCCAAAATTCCTTACCATTGTTGGGGAACATGCCGTTCCCAAGATCGGTTAGTATCTTCATGAACCCTGAACCCGAGTTTGCTCAGAAGTTTGATAGGTGCCATTCTTGGGTGGTTCAGTGAGCTACATGAAATCGTTTGGATAATACGTCCTTCGTCGACGGTATGATCTCGCGTTTGCTCGTGGGAAAGAATTCTCTTTGCTCTGCATCCTTCGAGGACGGTCTGCCTACGTGAGACGGGGCTCTTTTTGTCTCGTCCTTTCAATGGGTATTAACTTCCTCAGCTACATTGGACCGAGTACATCGCCGAAGCGATGGAAAGATTTCCTGTTCGTGCGTTCCGTCGAAGCAAAGGCCTTCATCATGCTGACTCCTCGTCGTTCGGGTTGATATATTCATATCAACAGTGTACAGTAATTATTCAGTTATGAGAAGACTATAATCGCGTGCAAGGTACGGCTCAACAAAGAAATACCACTTCCTGGACACGAAATGTCTGAATAGGCTGACCAACCGTTCAACCCTCTTCCCCTCCCATTTTGACTACTCCATCCAGAACACGAAGAATCTTTGACCTGTTACACTTCAACTGGGCAAAACGCGCTGTCACAGGCACCGAATCTATCTCAATATGAACTAAACGACTCAGTCATGGTCGGTCTGGGGAGCTTGCAGAAAACCTTTGAGGAAAGGAGGCCCGTACTGGTGTTGCACCTGAGGTCTATGAAGATGTTGATGGCCTTCAACCTCTTCCCTTCCTCCTCAACAAGCTCATTATTCTACGGCTCGGTTCAACACTCTCGTTGAATTAGTCTATCCTCTTGTCACTTGCATGGAATGTGCAACACCTGTCCATCTACACGCATCAGAGAGCAAGACATCTCAAAGGCCGTACACCTCTCCGCTTATTCACGAATGCAGAGTCCCACTCACTCCTCCCTGCGAGTCAGTACAGGAGTTATCTGGCCTGAAAATTCTATGTACTTAAACACTTCTGTGGCAACGTAGACGGGGTTCAATTGTTGCAATACATGACAATCACAGGCACTTGGTTGACTTAAACACCCGAAGTCTTGAACGAAGATGCAAGAAACGATGTCTGGAATGTTCGGAAGGGGGGGGGAACAGATCCCAAAGTATATATGCATATACTTTGTAGTCTTTTCGGAGCACCAGCATACATTATATCTGCATTACATACGTTTTTTGTTTATTAACTTGTTCCATATCTGTTTTTCGACCACCGAGAGTTTCATCGAAGGAAGCAGTAGATGCGGGAAGTCAGAAAACAATTGTCGATGTAGACTCTATGTGAACTGAACGACTACAACAGTTGGGCATCATGGAGCCAAGGGAGGCAGGCAGTAACTCTGAGCTAATGCGCCATTTGTACATGAATCCCGTCCGTCGACGACGGTATGACACTCATTCTGTTCATGGGAATTATGACCTTCATCGACGGTATGATACTCCTGTTCAGTCATGGGAATTAAAAAGTACTCAACGAAAATCAGTATAGTCCCAGCAGGGATTCGAACCCTGTGCTTTTGACAATATTTACATTCCGCACAGAGTTTATGATATTTATCAAATGCTCTACCACTGAGCCACTGGGACTTCATTAGCACAAAGTACACTCAAGGCAAGTATTGATAAACACCTTCATAAACATCCTTGTTTGCTCATGGGAATTGCCACCAATGGGCACCTTCGTGGAAGGTATGTTTCTCACCTTGTTCACTGATGGGAATTACTCTATTTGAGCTGCAATGCGTGCCCACGGGAACTGCCACCAATAGGCACCTTCATGGAAGGTATGATTCTCACCTCGTTCACTGATGGGAATTTCTTTATCTGAGTTGCAATGGGCGCCTAATTTCCAAAAGAAGTAAATAGGCGCTCAATTCACGGACCAAGTATCCACTGGAATTATTGTAGTTAGTAGTCCACAGCTGCTCTCCAGTTCTCTCTAGCTACACCCCAGCTCTCCCTAGCTGTACCCTAGCTGTCCCCCAGTTCTCCCTAGCTATACCCTAGTTGTCCCCCAGTTCTCCCTAGCTGTACCCTAGCTGTACCCTAGCTGTCCCCTATAATTTGCCCCCTAGTTTGTCCCCTAGAAGTCTCTAATAACCCCTAAGACATAAACAGAGGTTTTGGAGTGATTTAGGAAGACTGGGTTTCCGGCTGGTTTGCCTTTCCATGAGAAAAAGGGCATGAAAGGCCCAAAACGCTAAGGGAAAGGGCATGCCCTTTCCGGGTGTAATATAGTTAGGTGGAGGAGGGTGTGCAGCTGGGTTTCACGTCGGGCAAGTAATTAGCCCATTTGAAGGCATCTAAGATGGGACGGAGGTTCAGTCTGTTGATGATGGTAAGGTCTTGAAACTATGTCTTGCGTGATCTTCGCGGCTGCAGAGACAGGGAAGCTTGGCGGTGGTTCGATGATGTACTTGAACTAGAGAACCTTAAAGCACAAAATGAGATGAGGAGGGAAATTATTCGAAGTTTCGAGACGCACCTTGGTAAAAAATATTCATGCCATCTGGAGTGATACTCTGCCTTGTGGCTTGCCTTTGTTATCCCAGTAAAAGGGGTATAGATACGTTGGATCATCACACCGCCTGGTCAAAATTACTTGGAGAGAAGTAAAAGAAATAAAAGAGAGAGGATGCGGAGGCAGTGGAAGATAGTCCAGAATTGAGAAGTTGGTTAACACCAAGATGAGTGAGTTGGGAAACAGCTGCGCAATTTACTGATACTCATGGCAGTTGTCGTAGTAGTAGTAGTAGAAGACAGCAAAAACCTCGTCTCCCGAACGGTTGAGATATCCAAAGTAGAGCGTTCTGAAGGGCATGGAATAGAGGGGATTGCGGCGAGGATAGGTGATGGCAGGCAAAAGATGAAGGGATGCTGGGGTTGAGAAAATTCATTATTGTACCTTGAGAAGACGAAGCAATGAAAATACCATTGGATCCAACAAATAACCTATCCCCTCTCATCCAGCTCAAGGCCTCGCGACACCTGATTGCATACCAAAGGCACTGGATAACAGATCAAATCGATATCAAGCATTGCTACTTCGCGCGCAACAATTTGGTTTGGATATGGCAGTTTCTCAGACGCCGTCCAGCGTTCCACTGCTTTGTACGCATCTGGTGGTATCAAGCAACGTATGGCGAGCGTAAAGCATGGTACACATAGAGAGAAGAGGTGAATGAAAGTGAGGCTTCACATTGTGCATGGGAATCTGCAATGGAAAATTTCATTAAAAAAATCACATAATTTAGAGGATACGAACGTGACACAAAACAGCGAAATTGAAACGGCTCCAATGAACTTTCTCGTGGTAACACCTTTCTTCCAACAAAAGATCTGTAGGGTGGCGGACTTCAGGGAAGGTGATATGATTGAGGCGAGCGCAGTGGGATTTCTCCCTTACGTGTGAAAAATTCATGCAGCGGAGCCGGCCTAGAAGAGAGGAACGTGGGGTATATGAAATACATCGAACGGGTCTGGAGTATCGAGACTGAACTCCGTCGATTGTCAATAGGTGGAACTGCGTAAACAGGGAAGCGAAATGAATATATTGCCAGAGGTAGATTTGTTGCTTACTAGAATTGAACACGATCACCATCTCTCTGTCCTCTGCTCATAGAACTCAACATCCACCATATACAGTTCCAAACGTGTCCAGTGCTGGATTCGGAATCAGCGTTCAGAGAAGGTGACTAATTGATCGTTGCAGGCGTGGTGAGCAAGATTATGGTGTTGCGATGCGGGTGCTTCATAAGAGGTGAAGGTGTGACGACTTGAGCAGATGCTCATGACTGTACGTGAATTCCAAGAGGATATTTCGTTCATTGAGCGTGGTCGACGGGTTGAACAAGCTGCGATGAAGAGCCAGTGGGTCCCAATGGACAAAAAGAAGGGGACTGGACACCAACAAAGGGTGAGTAACAAAAATGGACGTCATATATACTGAAACTCACCTTGAACCTCGAGGATGTTGTAGGTCTATCTGGCTGTAAGAGAGCCACGGACATTTTCGTCCCAGCCCATATCCAATCTTCCTGCGTTGTCTGTTCATCCTTCTCAGATTGTGTCAGACAAGTATGAACCCGTTTCCTCTTTATTCCTATGATTACGAGCATGATACGGCGAAATGAGAGGTTCACAAAATGAACAAAGGTCATTTGACCGCTATATCCCTTCGAAGCGACGATATCAAGTATACTGCAGATATATGAGAAACGCACTGTCAAAAGGGCAAGCAAAGTTAACGAAGCGAGGCTGACTACAAAGAGAAATAATTCACCTATATTTCCCAAATCACAGTCCTTTCGACATGTCCAGTTGTCCCAAACTACGATGCTTCAGCATCCAGAGCCCAGACGAGTCCATCCGTTGACCTCTCATCATCGCCTTTGTGATGTGTGCACCGCAAAGTTATGGAAATGTGTAGTGCAGAGTCGGACACAGATGCTCATGGGGTATGGGTTGGGCAGGGAGTTCATGTGTGTGGAACGTAGGGAATGAACTGAGAACACAAGAGTTGGACTGCATGCTCGTCTAGCGAGGGTGCTATGAGCATTCAATGTGGTTAGTCACAACTGAAAACAAACATGGAAGGAGGTCGCACCAAATCTTAATCCCATATGGAAACATACCCGCGACGAGTTTCATAAGATTTAGACACATCTAGAAGGTAAATGACAAGGTCAAAAGGCAAAGGTCATTCAAATAAGCTTTGGGTGTACCTCAGGCCGCGTCACGTCGAGCTTAATCAAAACACTTTCGCGCCAGCGCCTCAGCCTCAACTGAAACCCCTCATTCGCCAATGTGACCCCGATACAGATAACTCGAGTTTTGCTTGAGATAAATGGTATTGTTCTAAACGACTGGTTGGCACTCGCTACTTATGAGTATTGCGCAGTATGAGTTGAATTGAGGATTACGTTGGGAAGGGGGGCAGTAAAAGAAAAGAGAAAAGAGAGCCCCACTCAAAAGCTGCAAATCGACAGATTAATTAGGAGAATGAAGTAGTTGAGCTTTAAACGCACCTCTCGATCACCCTGTTTCCCATATCGATACTCATCCGTCATACCGTTTCTCCGTTCGCCAACGAATAAGAATATGAGGAATTGATTGACCGACCAGCCTTGGATCTGACTTCGTCTAGTTTCTGTGACCAGTACGGGACTGCATGGGCATTGGGCTGACACTTCGACCTCCTTGATCACGGTGGAAAATTACACCGCATTCTTTGGTTCAGGGGTTATATACAAGTTTCGGAAATGGCGGTAGGGGTCGGGCAGGGGTCAACCTCTAACATCTAGCTCGCATCCACAGGATAACGAGGCTCCTCCACCTGGCTCCTGGGTTCCTCCTCAATCATGGGATGTTCAGTTTTTGGACAAAGGCAAGCATGAAGCCGAGGATGAGTACTACTCTTCTTTAGGAAGCAGGAATGCGGGGCCTGGAGGTAAAGGAACCGTGGGCGGTGGAAGACCATTAGAATTTGCTAGGCCAAGTAAGGGCAAGCTTGACGAAGATGATGACGAGGTCAACTTACCAATGGTCCATATGGGTGTCGGAGGTTTGAGTGGCATCGATGAGCATGGGCGACGCATTGAACGCTGGTAGTGTTGCGTCGATTCGATCGTTCTCTACGAATATTTCTCATTATAGTTCTGGCACTACTTCCACTTACAATTTCCAACAATATTCTCCGTCTATGACTAGTTCCATCACCTCTTTAAGCTCCTATCCCAATATAAATGGTGGTGGCAGGAAGGAATCAAACTATAGTCATGTAGTCATGGGAAGGTGGCTAAAACTTATACCTCATCCTCGGAAGGATAGTAAAGGCAACGCTCGTAGTGAGACTCACTACATCTACAGTGATAACCTGGACACCACTTGGTTGGGATCAAAACGTGAATATCAACCTCAGCCTTGGCTCTTTGAACTCGTCTGTCTACCCAACGACGACCATCCCATCCTCCTTACGTCTGTTCAACCCAGCAACAACTTCACCCCTATACTTAAGTCACAAGAATTTCAGAGTGTTCAAAGCCAACCTTCCCAAGCTGAGTTTTCTGAATCTCCCTGTGGATTCGAATTTGCTGAGTTTTCTGAACCTCCCTGTGGATTCGAATTTGCTGAGTTTTCTGAATCTCCCTCTCGATTCAAAATTCAAATCCACAGGGCGAACAATACTTATCACGTCGTCCCGTGTGGGTTCAACATCACTGTTGCCCAGCTGACACCCAAGTTGAACACCAAATTACTGTTAGGAGAGGAATGGGAGACCCATGTTATATTTGAAAGAGCAAGGACGAGGTGGTTTTTTTTCAATCCTCATGTTTCATCGAGTATTGACCATAACTCTATCTTCGTTCAAAAAGAGCATATCCTTTTACAAATCTGAATATTCCATGAGATGAATGGCACATATAATTAGTCTATTGTTACGCGTGTAGGAAAAAAAGAGGAATCTTACCTCCCATGCTAAAAACTCCTTCAACCATCTGCAATTTTCTCTTCATAACCGCGATACGTTATATCTTCCACCTTTCCTGTTCCTCCGTTCAAACAAAGATGAGGTACTGTTGATTTGACTGTAGGTAATACACTTGACCCCCTGCTCTTCGAATTAGCTTACTCAAAGTGAAAGAGATATGGGTTGAAGCTTCAGGTGAGAGGCAGTTTTCTTGCGGATTTCAAAAGGTGATTATATTACTCCAATATGTGGTGCTACAGTGAGTGTTATAGAGCTTTGGTTTTCACTTTGTATGCACCGCAAAACGAGCTTACATCGTAGGAGCAGAGCATTGTCAAGCTCCGTAATCGAGGGAAATGCCAGGGCAGCTTCTCCATGCAGTTGTTTTGCACTTTGAGCACCTTCAATCCAGGTATTCCCTCCAGATATGCATCGTCAAGGTCTCCTATTGGAACTCAGATCCAACCATGTGAAGGAGACAGAAAACCGGATGTTGGGTGGTACTTTTTTAAGCACCATATGCGATAGACGAAGTTCGGTGAGAGAGTGAGAGGTAGCTTGAATGAAATCAAGAGGGAGGTCAAGCATAGGATTGCAAGAGTGCGATAACGAGGTGATCTGATCAGCATGTTGATGCAAGGCGACGGGAATGGTGTGGAGAGAATGCCCAGAGAGGTCGACGGGTTCGTAATCTTTGATAGCAAGATATTGCTCCTGGATACGTGTACAAACGTATTGGTCACATTTGGAAGAAGATGGTAAAAGAGAATGGGCGTACAGTATGCCCAAAGACTTGACTCTTAAAGAGTCAAGACTAATTACAACAAGAACGACAATCCTTCACCGCCTAACAGCTCGAAGCCATAGCTCAACATCATATCCGGCCTGTTCAAAGTGCCTATGGACTATATCGGCGGAGATAGTGTACAGTGTATATAATTGCCGGGAATTGTAATATCAACCCGAATGCACCAACGTCCTTACCTCTTTTTGCTAAGCCTCAAATCATCTTACGGAGCTTCAATCCTTCCTCTACCTCTCCAGAGCCTTTCTTTACATCCTGTTGAAATAGCGTGCCGCCGCTCTCTTTATTCCTCTTTCCATATCCATGACTTGATTTTCGTCGACAAAGGTATGAACGTAGTATCTATTCCAATTGATTCTTTACAGATGATCATCTACATACATGGAAGTACATAGATGAACCGTATCCTACTGTATCATTCCACAACCCCTCTTTGCATTTACGGACAATGGGACTCCTGTTAGTACACTATTTTCGGGCTCTTTTTGGGGAATAAATCAATGAATACTTTCTCCATGATCAGATAGGACGTTATGAGGTTGATGTAAGACTCGTCATCTTGGACCTCGATTTCTCCAGCATCACTCTTTCCCCTGATTTCTTCCTGGACTGCAGAGATATTCTGCAAGAAATCCCACAGCATAGCAAATTCATCATGATGCCACTCGTTCAGCACTTGGTGATTGAGTCTGACCAACCCCTGGCTGATAATCCGGCTTGAGTACCAGAAAAATTCCCCTAGTTTTCCCAGGCTCCCAGTGGATTCCTCGTTATCAATGTTCATTATTCTCCAGTACTGTCCCATTGGTGCGCGGATTAGGCTCGTAAAAGAGAAAATACTGTGTAATCAAGCCACAAGCCTGAGTGCAATATATTGTAAGCTCAAGCTCGTGCCAGTGTTTGTAAGCTAGCATTCTGGGAATGTGCAATAGTCTACCTTAGTCTACCTTCTCCTGTTCCAGGACACACACCGTATGGTAAAGCCATGTAACAATCTATCTATCTATCTATCTCATATCATTTACCAATCGATCTGACGTAGGCTTGTATGTTCAAACATACAGTGCATTTTGTCCCGCAAGAGCCAGCCTCAGCCGTCCCGGAAGAGCTTAGCGTTTAGGCCCTAAAATATATTGAACAAACAAATAGGAATAAACACTAGCGATATTTCGGAATACGCAAACAGGAGAGATCGGAATATGGCAAGAGGACATGCAAGCTCAAGGTCCACCTTCCATTCAGATTTCAAAAAATTCTGCTAGGAAAAGCAATTTTAGACACTTACAGTAGATCTCTAAGCCTGTACAAGCCGTCCGACGTGTATGCGGTATGAGCATAGATCATAATGTTCGAAAGTTCCACCATCCACCAAAGAAGTTCAAGCTTTAATTATAAGTCCCGTAATTGACTATCACAACAACATGTATAGGTTTTGATTCCTTACACATTTCCAGCAAAAGTTGAGTAGTAAGATTATTATTCCGATTGCGGTACATGAACTTCAAATTCCATGTATTGACACTGACCCATTTTTTTCCTCTTGTATCGACTTCAATCAAAAAGTTTGATTTACTATAATATGGTGCTTGCCATTCTAACGTGTACTGAAGATCCCGAGAATTAATTCGAGATAATATTCTATAGGTGTTTACATATTGCTCTTTGGTCTCAGCGTCCACATCTTTTGGCAGAAGTTTACACCCTGGGAAGCCATATATCCTTGCAACCATCCTCTTATTCACCCTGGCCACGGCGATAAATTGTATGTTAAAACCTTTTGAGCTCCTCAAGAACGGTGTGGACCTGCTGTAAAACTTTTTGGTATCAAATTCAATAAATTTACGTTCGTGGTGACCAGTAGAAGATGAACTTTGCGTCATCACCAGACGTGGTCATACTCTCACGGATTTCAGCCGTTTTGACCGGATATTCCCATTGCGGGGTTTGACTGGGATTCAAACCCTGGCCTTTTGATTATAAGTAAGGTACTTCAAGAGGCAATATTTATCAAATACTCTACCATTAAGCTATTGAGGCATAATAGTGAACCTACTTGACTATGTTGAGTGTCAAAAATGACAATGAGTGCCAAAACATTTCACCAACAATAAACCAACTGCTAAAGCCTCAATAGGGATTCGAACCCTAGCCTATTAGTGACTATAACTGCACATTCCGATATTCACCAAACGCTCTACCACTGAGCTATTGAGGCTATGCAAGTTGAAGTTGTATAGATTGTAGTTGATACAGAAAAAATGGAAAGTCAAAGTAAAAGTTGAAGTTGAGTGTGGGAATTGATTAACTTTTTGGCGCAATGCTCATCATTGCTGACAGCCTCTATGCTGTTTCCCATGCCATATGTGAGGCGCTGAAGCTGTGAATATGTATTGCACAGTCTACAGAGGCTCTGGTGATGATTGAATGTCAGAGACAAACTTTGCATGTCACCCACCGTTCATTCCATAAATGTGTGCAAGATGGATGTGAGTGTGGGATTTTTTGTGTAACCCTAAGTGATCGCCCGTGGGAATTTCTCCTAACCTTACTCCCCGTCCCCCTTTCCCCTTCTCCTTTCCCTAAAATGAGGCAAGGGAGAAAGTAGATATAGGGGGGGGGGGGTTTTCAAGGTGTCTGAATCCAATGGGATAGGTCCCAGGAGGAGGCAATCAATGGTTGTAAAGATCCTGGCATTTGCAGACATTTGGCAGCTCATAGCAAGAAGAGAACAGGCAAGAAAGTGAGTTTGTGAAATTTTTTAGACTCTGCATTGCATCTCACTTTGAAAGAAAAAAACTCCCGAAGGGATCGCCCCCCTGGTTGCAAAGATTTCGACCCCCCCCCGGCCAAAACCCCATTGGCGCTAGTTAATAATTTGGCAGACGACGACCAAATTTGGGATGTTACCGCGACAGATTGGGGGCAGGCTGGTCCTTGCAATTTGTGAGATGGGATGTGTAAGACCAAACATGAAAATTGGGAAGAATTGGTAGTGAAGACATGGGAGATACAGTTGATAGCATTATCCATTAAGCGCGACAACGCATTCACCGCTTCGAGTCATCACTAGGCCTCACCGGCGAATCCACCTCACTTCACCAAAGAAATCTTTGACATGAGCAATGCGAGCAGCATCTTGAATGAAGTGTTCATTCCGACTCATATCAATGAACTCCTGGGTACGGTTGCTAGATATAAAGACCAAAAGATGTGGTTCCTTTGTTCCAGTCACATATGCCAATTCTGGTCGAAAATAGCAATGACTGGATAGGACACTGAGCGAATCAAAGATGAATTCAGGCAATGTCAAAGCGCACCGTTCATTACTCTGATACTTGGCATCGTAATCTCTGACCCAAGGTATCATGACCTCTTTCGTCCAAAAGGTCGGCATTTCACCTCCAGCTTCCGGATAGTAGTCGGGAATATCGTCTCCAGGAATATACCATCCCAGATAGTAAACAGGTGTGACGTGAAAGCAGGTTCTGTCAACGACTCCTCGTCTCAATGGAGGCTCGTTGAGCGGAAGAAATTTGGTGTGTTTGCATTTCCTATCCAAAATTGAATTACTTCAAGTAGATACTGAAAAGGGATTGTGTACCCAGTTGTCTGCAGTTGTTCGGACATAGCGCGAACGTTGAGGATGAGGATGTGCTAGGACGTGGTAGAATCCTATATTATAAAAGACTAACTGGGCGCTTAACATGATTACCAATAATTGGTCAGCAAGCTAGACGCTGAACTTTTACCACGAAATGGTGCTGCAGAGCCGCCGGAATCAATGCCGTGTTCTCCGGCGCTTTTTAGTGCGACTTCAAGTGCGTGTGCATGTGAGGGTCAATACTACAAGCACTTTAACAGTTGAACTCTGGACATTATACATTTATACATGTGCATTGAGTATTCTGCATATTGTGGCTGCTGCCTCATTTTACAATATTGATATAAGAACCACTACAGATTTAAGAAGTCACTTCAAACTTTGCCTTATGAAGGAGAATTCTGACTGAGCAACATTGCTGAGAAGGTATCCTTGATTATCTGAGATGAAGCACCAATGAAAAGCTGTTACTTCCAAGAGCTGACTATGCAAAATAAGAAATCAAAACAATCACATTTGCCAGATGTGTGACTGTGGTGTTTCAGCAAATATTGATTGCCTGTGCAAAGGTTATTGAGGATAGATTGTGGGTCAGTGCAACCAGTATTCAAAGCTGTGTCATGACATAGTGTGTTTAACAGAAAATAATTGGCTCAGCAGTGGAACAGATGTGACAATGCTAACTGGCTACTGCAAGTTGGTTATGGTTCAATTAACACACCTAAACATCAAATGAAACTTGATCCATGAATGTGATGTGGAGATGTCATATAGTCTTTGATTTCTGCCATCTATCCAAGTCTCAACTTGATCCATCCTGCAGTAAACAATGATCCATGGATAAATGCACTATTCTTTGCCCCAGAAATGTTGTATTAGCTCAATATAATAGACTTGGATGCTTTAGCAGGAAATGCATTCACCTAGAGCTGATAGTATTGGTGCAAATAAAGAAGCAGAAAACAAAAATGAATTTCACTATCCTGTTATGTATTTAATTAGTATCAACATCTGCAAAACCTGTATACTCGCAAAAGCAAGGATACTGGCTGGAGAGCGCTCTCCAGCAATGAAAGCACCCAGAGCAAAAATCAAAGCCTGCTCTGGGTGCTTTCACTGCTGGGAAGTGCTCTGAAGTGCTTTGAGCTGCTTTCAGCTATTCAGCCAAAAATACAGGTTTTGCAGATGAATGAATTAGGTCTTCCACTTGCAAGTCTTGAGCTCAAGATTGGTGCACCTATTATGATACTTTGAAATCTTGACCAATCTTCCAGGTATCTGCAATGGAACCTGAATCATTCTAAAGAAATAATATACTATCAGAGTTCTGGAAGCAAAAATATTGGGTTGTGATAAATCTGGAAAATCAATACCATACTCAGTCCATCAAGTTTTGAAAAGGCACCAGATTCCAGAATGGTTTATATTTACAACGATAATAAATAAATCACAGGGACAATCTGTAAAACATATTGCATGTTCAAATCCTATATGTTTGCCAGAGTGATGGTACTGGCTGGAGAGCACTCTCTCATCTGCTCTCTGAGAATGAGCCAAGAAAACAGGTTTACTGATAAAGGGTACTGGCCTCTAGCATGCAAAGCACACCAAGAGCAAGATTTTCAACTTGCTCTTGGCTGGGAAGCTCTTTTAGTTGTTCTCAGATAATGAACCCAAAATACAGGTTTTGCAGATCAGTGGACTGAAGTCTTAGAGCCTATAGATAATTCTAGCTCTCTCTTTTATCTGCAAAACCTGTATTTTTGGCTCATTGTCTGAGAGCAACTGAAAGAGCTTCCCAGCAGCCAAATAATCTAGAACCAGTCAAAATTTTCACTCCCAGTGCTTTGGGTGTTGGAGAGTTCTCTCCATCCAGCACCTTTTGCACTGGCAAATATACAGGTTTTACAGATGTGGAGTACAATAAAGGCTATAGTGAAAGTTCTATCTGGTAAAGGTAAGTTTTGTACTTTAATTAATAGCAAGTCTCTAACTTTCCATTTTAGAAGATATACATTGCCTTACTACAAATATGGTGTACCTGGAAGTTCTTCTAGATAGGAAAAGTATGTTTACAATGAAAATAGCTCAGAATACTGCATGATAAATCTGAAAGTATGGAGGCGCAAGGCGCCGACTAAGGGGGGTTTGGGGGCTTGCCCCCAACAAGCTGTGAACCCTGCTGTAGCACACGGTGCGAGCAAAGCGAGCCACCGTGGCGAAGGCACGGGTTCTAAAGCTTGTAAGATTAAGAAAGAGTTCCCCTTCAAGTTTTACGTCAATTATCCCACGTGGTTCTGACGACGCCACAGATAGATAGCCCTTCGATAGCAAAAATTTTGATATCAACCCAACGAAAAAACCAAAACACGTACTTGGACCGCGACCTTTCTAGCTACGTCTAAACCACTTTCTCCCCAGTTCCTTCTCTTGTTCCTTCTCTACCTCGATCCGTTTCTTCCTCTCCTCCTCCTTTGTCTTCCGCTTCTCCTCCTCTTTCTTTGCCTTTTCGAATTCCTGAGCTTTGCGAAGGGCTTCACGCTCCACACGTTCTTCGCGCTTCTTACGCTGTTCCTCCTCGGGAGCAGTTTGTTGGGCTTTGGCGGCGTTGGTGGAGGCGGGTTTCTCGGCGTCCCGACGAGCCTTTTCAGATTCTTTTGCGAGCTCCTGTTGCCTGTGGAATTGAGGATAATGAGCATTGAAGAAAAAATATGTAGCGAACGGGAACACACTTTTTCTTATCTTTTGTCTCCTGGTTCACATTCTGCTTCTTAACCTCACGTTTCTTGAGCGATCTTGTCTTCGTCCTCGAGCTCCCGCATCTTGGGCGACCTGTTAAATGAGCCATAGAATATCAGGATGGAATTTTAGAAAGGAAGAGGACGATGAGACCTTTTCACGATAGGGTGTGAAAACCCTCTGCTCGAACATACATGGGGCGAAGATACTGAACATTTGTTTGCCTTCCTCCATTTTCTGCTCTTCCGTCATAACCTGTGAGCGAAAAAGGGAAATTTGGAAATCAATCAGTGAAGAAATGGATGTAATAACATAGGTGGCATCGCGGGAGCGCAAAACTCTAACATCGCTTCCTCAAAGCCTGCAAGAGGAGCGAGTGAATGGAACGATGGTAAATGACACCACCGACAGAAGGAACTGCACTTACCTCCCCTTCTTCGTTGTCCATCTTCCTCATCCTTCTCATCATCTTCATCATCGCTACCTTCATCCTCCGTTGCCTTCTTCTATCCAGATCCTCATCATCATCCTCCGATTCTAGAACCTCCTCATCCTCACTGCCATCCTCCTTATCCTTGTCTTCCTCATCTTCCGAGTCGAGGTCACCTACGGCTTCCTCCTCACGCTGCATCCTTCGTTCAGCCAGCTGTTCCATCATCTCAAGGAATTTTTGGCCATTGTTTTTCAGAAGATCGTCGGCGACGGTGAGGATGTTGCCAGGACCTGTGAAGAGAGTTTGTGTGACATGAGCGAATTGAGCAAATCGAATGGAGGTGGATGATGGCGGTGGAAGATGGGCATGACGACAACGGAGTGATGAATATGCAGGGAAAGAACGGGGAAAGGAAGCAGGAACGACAGCAGGAGAACCGCCGAGATACAGAGCAAGTGGGAAAGAACATCTACAATGACGACGCTATTGATCAGAAACGAAAACGCAGGATTTGGGGGTAGAATAAATGAAAGACAGGCAATCGATACACATCTGTAACAGTAAGACTTTTGCCCAGATTGAATAGACGGTTTCTTCCTTAGTTTTTCCTATTCTCAGTTCCATTCAATGGTGACTCAGCACCACAACCTCTCCCCCTCCCGCCCCCTGCACCACCCCTTACACCTAATTGTGACGTCGTTCCAGGCCGTATGGGAGTTCCGCGGCCACGACCAATTCCAACATCATTCACCCCAGGATGCACAGGTGAATTTGGATTTGGACCGAGTTCTTCATCGTCAGGATCAGGATTAGGATCTTCTTCCTCGTCCTCTTCGTCCTCTTCCTCATAATCCTCACCGTCATCATCCTCTTCCTCATACTCGTCGTCACCGAGATCGGCGTCTGGGTCGACGTTTGGACCATCGTCCGCGTCATCAAATTCAGATTCGGGTGGTGGATTCCCTCGACCGTTAACAGGAAACTTGGTACGCTGCGCTTGAAGTTGTCCTTTTCCACCTCTGACGACTTTGGCGTTGGCATTATTGGGTCGATGATTATGAGGAGCTACGTGTTGTGGATATCCGGGATGCCCGACAACTGCCCCGTTTATATCGAGCTCGACGGAACAAGGGAAAGGCCCTGGTCCGGGCGGGGGAGGAATTGTACCACCAGAAGAAACATATCGTGGTTGATAGATAGTTAGCGTATTGCTCTGTAATTCTTCATAGTATGCATCGCATAGCGCTTCTAGTTCTCCTTCGATGGCGTTACTAATAATCAATAATCAGTTTCTCTCTTTCTTTGTAAAACCAGAAAAAAGAAAGAAAAAAGACTCAACCGTTTCCTGCCACAAACAGCACAACTGCAAGAATACTTTTGTTGTTCCTTCATCTTCCTCAATACCGTATCCTTCTCATTCTTGACCAGGTTTCGTCGTTCCTCTTCCCCTAGACCAAACCAAAACTCTTTGATTCGTTCGCGTTCTTCAACAGAGCTAGTCGAGCAGATCTTGCTGTTATGAGCACTAGTATTCTTCGTGCCATTGGTCGACCTTTGGAATTTGTACTGGAATTAGCAGCAGACGCCATCCCAATCCGTGGCCTGAAAGACCGAAAGTGGAGCTGACAACGGACCGGTTACCTGATGGAAGACAGAACAAATAAACCCAAACTTCCTATCCAATACATTTCCGTTCTTTGTTTTTTATCCTCTTATCCCACTCAGTCCAGGCATTTCGCCTTCTAGACTTTTGACCTTTCATTCTCCCCCGTCGCTTTACCCGACTTCTTTCTCTCTCTCTCTTCCTTTTGACATTGCGCTTGTCGCTGCAACGAAATTTCAGAAGCCCAACACTCGACATTCGTTTCCTTCTACTACTTTCCTACTGCAATACTTCCTTGGCTGTTGGCCAACAAACAAAACAAGTTCGTCTCGCGGAAGAATCAACCATTAACGGGCAGAAATAATGGGCTGCGTACAATCAGCTGGTGTTGATGAAGAGGCTAAGGCCCGTGAGTGGCATCCTTCAAACATTTTCGCTCACTACTGACGAATAGCGCCTCTCATCTTCTTCCTCTGCCCTATTATTACGACGCCCTCACGATCTTCACCGTATCGAACGACAACGACCTTGCGACCTTACCCCTGACAATTTCGACCAAATGCGGTTCCAATCTTCGTCAATCTATTAGGCAATGACGAGATTGAAAATCAACTCAAGCGGGACCGAATGATGGCAAAGAATGAGATCAAGATGTTGTTGCTTGGGGCCGGTGAATCTGGAAAAGTACGCGACCTTTGTTTCATTTTTTTTGTCTGTTTCCACCCTCAATCGACTTGTGGCTTCTCCATGTCTGTGGTCGAGTACGACTCGTTAGCGTTACCTGTCCCCGGTCCCTTAGCACCTGCCGTTTACCACTTTGTTTCCACGCTTCGCCTGGTCGTAGCTAACGTTTCCTTCTAGTCCACAGTTCTGAAACAAATGAAGCTTATACATCATGGTGGCTACAACGACAATGAACGTGAATCCTATAAAGAAATCATTTTCTCCAACACTGTCCAATCCATGCGTGCGATTCTCGATGCTTTGCCCTCCCTCGACCTGTCGCTTAATCCATCTAATGATGCCCGGAGAGCTACTATCCTTGCCCTTCCGCTGCAGCTGGAAGTCGACGTTATGCCTCGGGATGTAGCTGACTCGATTAAAGGTATCTGGAATGATCCAGCGGTCAAGGAGGCGGTGAGAAGGAGTAGAGAATTTCAGCTGAATGATTCGGCGGTGTATTACTTTAACAGCATCGATAGAATGAGTGGACTGGTTTGTTCTCGTGCTATCGGGTCTATTTAAAGCATTGATTCGTATTCTGGGGTATTTAGGGATACATGCCTAGTGATCAGGATATCCTCCGCTCGCGAGTGAAGACGACGGGTATCACGGAAACAACGTTCAAGGCAAGCACATTCATCCTCCACTTCAGCTATAGCTCTACTCGCAATTAATGCTACTGCTTTTTCCAGGTCGGCGAATTGACGTACAAACTGTTTGACGTCGGCGGCCAACGTTCTGAACGTAAAAAGTGGATACATTGCTTTGAAAACGTTACCGCTTTAGTCTTCCTAGTTTCGTTGAGCGAGTATGATCAAATGTTATATGAGGATGAGAGCGTGGTAAGCCATTCCCCTATTCTTTTCTTCCTCCTGCTTTTGCCCGTGTAGAGAGGGGTAGGAATTCGTCCTAGTGTTTCCTTCCTTCCGTTCCCGTTCTTTGTCTTTTCCGTATGTTGCTACATATTCTTATCAACGTTCCCATAGAATCGTATGCAAGAAGCCCTTACCCTCTTCGACTCGATATGTAACTCGAGATGGTTTGTCAAGACTTCAATCGTGAGTGCCCATTTTCCGCTTCCTTTCCTGTTCCCTTCACTTAACATTCCGCAATTCTAATCCCTCCGTCTTCGGCGATTTGCGCAGTATGCATGTTGTCCCTTTCAACCGCCCTCTCTTGCCTTGCATTCTTTTACTTTTTGACCCCTACCTTCCCTGTTAGCTGGCCTGCGTCAAACAGTTTTGCTGACGTATCACTCTTATAGATCCTTTTCCTTAACAAGATTGATTTGTTCGCTGAAAAGTTGCCAAGGTCACCATTAGGTGGGTGTGCATTGGTTTATTTGATTGTCCCTTTCTAGCCATCTTGAATATACACTGTGCTCGTGCATTCCGAGTAACAGCGCGTCGAGCCGAGCCGATCTCGTACTCTCGTATACGAGTGCCCTCCTCACCTTCATCTCTGCCATTTCACTCAGTATGAAGTCAGTTGTCGTAAACTTTGACTCTTGCTTCTTTCACAGCTTAAAGTTAATTGTTCGCTTTGCCCATTCAATATTTCCATTTTCTTCCCCTCGTACTAATCTTTTTTTTCTCCCGTAGGTGACTACTTCCCGGATTACACGGGCGGAGATAATTACGACGCCGCCTGCGAATACTTGCTTCACAGGTTTGTGAGCTTGAATCAGAGTGCCGCCACGAAACAAATATACGCACATTACACCTGTGCCACCGATACGCAGCAAATCAAATGTGAGTCTCAAATTTCTCTCTGCTTTTCCTCAACATCGCGACTTGCTGGACTCGCTGACTGGATCACCTATCGACGGAGGGATTACATGCCCCGGATCTACTCGCTGTCGACGTTGTTCGTCGCGTCTTGCACTCCTTTCATCGTTCGACTTTTGTTAAATGTTTTCAGTTCGCTGACTATCTTTTTCCTGCATTCTTCTAGTCGTTCTTTCCGCTATTCAAGACATTCTACTCCAGCTCCATTTGAGGGAGTGTGGGTTGCTATAGGATGTGTGCTCCACTTTTCCTGTCGCCTTGGATCTGCCGTGGATAAGCGAAACATACTCTTTCCTGTCTTAGTTTCATATCCTTATGGTTCATACATATTCACTGTTCTCGTCGTTCGCACTTTTGTCAACCTGTACATTTTAACCATCACTTTATTCCTCTTGTTCACAGAATTCCTCTCAATTCCGGTACTGGCCCTTCAGTGACTTGATTAGTTTTTCTGGCTCTGGTTATTTTCTTAGTATACACTACATTTCCCGGAATCAGCATCTTCCTCGACTCGATAACTTCATTATATCACTTTGTTCCTTATTCTTTCTTTGAATAGTAATACTCCCATAGTCCTGTCATACCCTGTAATTTTGTATCGTCCTTCAGTCCGACGTAGCGACGGATTGGATCTGCTTTTTAAATCTGGAATGCCAGCTCGAGCCTCGAGGACAACTTCAGAGAAATCAATTCACAGTGGAAACATGTCAAGCTCGAGGACTACACCTGCCACTCTGAACTCAAGTTCTCGCCGTTCACCCATCCGTCGAATGGATTTTTCCTATTCCGGTAAATTTTGAACTCGATACCTGATGCCCTTATTGACTCTCGTCCGGTACAACAGTTGACCGATCCTGATGTTCACATTTCTGGTACGTTGTGTAAAAGTTACTTCATTGATCCGGAAGTCAAATCTACCTTGCTCCGGAGCCGACATGACTTTTCAAAATCCTCTTCATCTTCGTCCCTCCCACCACGTACTGATGAATGCTCTTACCATGGCCTCGGTATGGCGTGATCATTCAGGATTACTGGCGGCACTCTCCTGCTGTACTCTAGTTTACGGTTCACAATCTAGGTTTTAGGACAATATAAAAATCAGAAACTCTCCGCAATGACGGTTCAACCTCAGATTTTTCGTAGGGTTCTTTGGTGTTCTTTGTGGGACGCCTGTGGTTCATAACTTAAAGGCCTCATTCGGTGCATTTCGGATACAGTATTGTAAAGTTTCTCCATGGACCATCCGTATGTTGGATCAGAGCCGTGTACGCCGCTGCCAGGGGGTCTGTATCTCAAGGGATCTCAATTGCTCTTTGGAACAGCGTTGAAAGCCTTATCGATTACAATGCACGCATGCTACTGTCAAAAATCAGAAATAACTCGCATAAACCATTCACCATTCCTCGTCAAGTACAAATTCTCACTGAGTCTGGCTACCAGCTAATGCCTGGGGATCAGCACTTCTCACAGTACGTCCTGGTTGGTTCTGTCTTTCGTTTCATTGATGCGCTTCAATATTAATTCAACATCCGGCACAAAATTATTTCCAACATTGGCATCCTGCCAATGGGTTCACAAGCCTGTACCTTTCGATTCTCCCCCCCCCAATAAGCATATATACGCATGGATATCCACTGCTACTCTTGAGCATATGGCAACAGTAACGTTCTCTCCCGGTTGTCTGGTTGAGTGTGTTCATGTAAAAATGGCTGGACGTGCATATCGCTATACGTTGGACCTTGAATTTGAAGAGAGCAGTTACCCAGCGGAACCGCCTCGGTGTCAATCTTCCTTGCCGCTCTTCTTCGTTCTAAAGCGGCACGCTTATTTGGTTGCGAAAACTACCCGGCTTGTCCAAGCATCTACGGGCCACAAGATTCCCTCCTCTATACCTCTCACACTGTCCACTCAAGTTCGCAAAGGAGGATTACAACCATATAAATAGTAGGTAGACCAACAGAAAGGCAACAGGCTCAAGGCTCATTCTCCTGATTAGCCCCAAGTTCACTTCTTCGTTCTCGAATCATTGACCTCTAGGTACATCTACCATGGCATTCTCAACTAGCACCCTTCTCCAATTCATCGCCCTCGCGCTCTCCACCACCGTAAGCGCTGCTCCCTCCAAAAACATCCGTTGCTCCGATGGGACAGTCGTGCCCGACAGTATTTGCTGCGATTTCATCCCAGTAAGCTTGTAGTTGGAGTGGAATATTTGAGATTTTGCTGATGATCAATCAAGCTTGCCCAAGATCTTACCGAGACCCTATTCGAGAACCAGTGTGGTGAAACTGGTCAGTGACGTTGGAGCTCGCAGCCTGTAATGAAGTGCTCACACTCATTGATTTTAGCGCATGAGGTGCTTCGTCTGAGCTTCCGTACGATACTCAGACTACCGTTCTGCCCGTCCATTTTCTTGACCATGCGCCCATAGATGATGCAATCGCCATCTCTCAATCACTTGGTCCTTCCGCGTAAGTTGGCCTCTACAGTTCATTTGTTACATATATGTATGTACTTATTTCTGCCATAAAATAGCGGAGGAGGCGCTGACGGCTCCATGTTGATCTTCCCTGATGTCGAGCCCAACTTCGCCGCCAACCTCGGCATCTCCGACAGCGTGAACGACCTCGCTCCATTCTTAGCTTCAGGAAAATTCCCGACTATCACTGCGGGGGATATGATCCAGTTTGGTGCCACCGTTGCTGTTGGCCTGTGTCCTGTACGCTGTCCTCGTGTTCTGATTATCAAAATCCTATTCTAATCATCAACCTAATCATTTTACTTTTCAAGGGTGCACCTCAGTTGGAGTTCCGTGCTGGACGACCGAATGCTACTGCCCCTGCTGTTGACGGTTTGATTCCTGAACCGCAGAACACTGTCGATGAAATCTTGGCGCGTTTCCAGGATGCTGTCCGTCTTTTGCCCCTTCGCTCGTAATTTTCCTCTTTGCTCATTGCTACTTGGCAACAGGCAAACTTGAACGCTGAGGACATCGTTTCTCTCCTTGTATCGGTGAGGCATACGACTCTCGCTGTGAAGCTCGTATCTAATATGATACCATCCTTAGCACACAGGTATGATTTGATTTTATGAATTTTGCATGGTCGTCTTACTACACGATAACTTGTTCTCAAGTGGCCCGCGCTGACCACGTCGATCCCACTCTGGATGCTGCCCCTTTTGACTCAGCAAGTCAAATTTTTGATATTTTCCCCGATGCTTTCGAATTTATGTCCACTTTTCAGACTCCCTTCACTTTCGACTCGCAGTTTTTCCTCGAAACCCTCTTGACCGGTGTCGGATTCCCCGGAACTACCAGTGCGTATTTGCTCATTAACTATTTGATGAAACCTTCGAATTGATCAAACTTGGCGTACTTAGACAATACTGGTGAAGTTTCCTCCCCTCTTCCACTCACTGTTGGCGAAAACGTTGGAGAACTTCGACTCCAATCCGACTTTGAGCTCGCTCGTGACCCCCGAACCGCCTGCTTCTGGCAATCCATGATCAGTATGTTTGGAAAAATCTGCAGTTCAAAATCAACATTCCGAGGTATTCATTTATTCTCCGCAGACCAGGAAGCTTTGATGGCAGCGAGGTTCAAAGCTGCTATGGCAAAAATGGCAGTCATTGGACACAACGCGAATGATTTGGTTGACTGCTCTGCCGTAGTCCCGAAGCCTGTTCCTGCTTTGAACAAGCCTGCTACGTGAGTCCAAATAATTGGAGACCAATCCGTGTTAGATTCCAACGGTTTTATATACTTAGTTTCCCGGCGACAAAGACCAAGGCAGACGTTCAACAAGCTTGCCCTGAGCCCTTCCCAAATCTCACCACTGACCGTAAGTGTTCTTTCCCTGACTAGTGATTCAGACCTTGACAGTAAGATCTGCTCTTCAGGTGCTCCCCGAGAAACCGAGATTCCTCACTGTCCCGACAACGAGGCCACTTGCACTTCCTAGATAATTTTTTGCCTCGGCTTTACATGAGGATGAGGGTACTTGCGAGAGCAGAGCCGTCGATAATTAGATAGCTTATGCGTATAACTGTATATGAAAACACAATGATATGACCGTTTCGGAAGATGATTCCAGGGAGTTGCGTGGGAAAATCCTGCCTCCTTCTCCTTGACTTCATGCGTACATTCCACATCTTCAATTCAATATACTATTCGTCCTCCGGGAACCCAGTGTCCCATTTCAAAACAGAAACATGATCAAATTTTGACTGTTAACGACCGAACCTTACAGCAAAATGGATGGCTCTATCTCTGAGCATGAACGGTGTGAACTCGCGGGCGAACGCTCCACAGATACGAAGACAAAGAAGTGTGGAATGGATCGGAAGAAATTTTATTTGTGGAGGATGAAATTATCTTTGTTTGACTTGAATGTCACTGGGTGGATGATTATTCTGTGTTGTCATTATCTTTCACCTCGCTATTTCCCCTGCTACACTTACACTTCTGCAACTTTCCTTGCTAGCGGTAACAAATTTCTTCGAGGCCTTCCTGAATTTCGGCATCAACGAGTGTTTTCTTGCAAATTTTGTACAACGTTGCCAAGCTTCACTCGCTCTCACTCACTCCTGAAAACTGGCGTGGTAAGTTTTGCCCGGTCATTTATGGTTCTCCGCTGAAGTCTTCGCCCGGTTCCTTGGCTAGCCGATAATAATTTTCCCAATTCCTGCGCTTCTGTGGAAGTATATTTGAACGATCCGGATGTCAAATATCAGAAAGGTGGTCTGGCATCATCGTTTTACTTTTGAAATCGGTACCGACATGCATCCAATAGCGATCCTCGTATTACTGTTCAAACGTTCATCTTTATGACTGGTGAATCTTTCCAAAATTTGACCTCATCTTCATGTAATGTTCTCCTCTTAGGAAGTTACGGGCCAACGTTTCGTTAGGCGTGGTATCGCTGGACTTTTCACCTGCTCACTGGGAGTATCTGTTGTCAAAAATATAAATCACTCGCAAAATTCGTCAGAGGACATGAGCAGAATTCTCATCGAAAAGCGCCACCGGAACTCGGAATTCTTATTACAGCCAGTCTTGTTTTCTGTGCTGTGTTCATCGTCCTCTTTGATACCCTACCCCAACATACTGGATAGACGGCTACCAACTTTTCCCTCAAGATACGTGCCTTATTCGTTGGAATCACTCCCTGGATGGGGCTCAACTTTTAATCCCGGTTATCCGGTAGCTTTTTGGAATAACGGTTGGTGTGGAACAGGGCTCAAGCTGCATGAGTGGCGGATTTGAACGCATACTCTCATGTAATTGTCCCGGGTGTCTTGGCCTTCGGTATTCTCGTTTTCGATGGATCCATAGTCTTTCCGACTCATTCTCCCATCTACTCAGTTTGATTTGCAAAAGGCGTATAAATGCTGAGCAGAGAGCGAGCAGAAATTTTCCAAGCACATTAGCTTCCTCTTCACATTTCTCTCAGATCTGCTTTTTTTAACCGTCGACCTCTGATACATCCACAATGGCATTTTCAACTATGATCCTTCCTTTCGTAGCCCTCGCATTGTCCACCGTCAATGCTGCTCCCGCCGCCCAGAATGCGCGCTGCTCAGACGGCACTGTCGTTCCCAACAGTATTTGTTGTGATTTTATTCCGGTAAGGATAGGTTCAGATATATAACTAATCAGAACCGTGCTGATGAATGATTCAAAGCTTGCCCAAGATCTTACCGAGACACTATTCGAGAACCAGTGTGGTGAAACGGGTGAGTTGGTTTGAAGCTCGCCACAACCTGCGATGCAGGGCTAACGTTACAATCGGTTTTAGCCCATGAAGTGCTTCGTTTGAGCTTCCGTATGTTTCTACCACTCCATTTGTTCTGCTTGCGCCTTGTTCTGAATATACGTCCACAGATGATGCTATTGCTATCTCTCAATCCCTCGGTCCGTCGGCGTAAGTGGCTTCATACAATTTGACCATAATACATGCTCTAATTCCAAAGAAAATAGTGGAGGAGGCGCTGACGGTTCTATGTTGATCTTCCCGGACGTCGAGCCCAACTTCGCCGCCAACCTCGGAATCTCCGACAGCGTGAACGACCTCGCTCCATTCTTGGCTTCAGGAAAATTCCCGACTATTACTGCGGGAGATATGATCCAGTTCGGTGCCGCTGTCGCTGTCGGCCTTTGTCCTGTACGTTTCACTTGATTTCAAGCCTGAGATTGAGTGCCATGCCGATGATCCGTGTTTTAACTACTTATCAAGGGTGCACCTCAATTGGAGTTCCGCGCCGGACGACCCAATGCTACCGCTCCTGCTGTTGACGGTCTGATCCCTGAACCGCAAAATACTGTCGATGAAATTTTGGCACGTTTCCAGGATGCTGTCCGTTTCTATAACTTTCCTGCAAATTTTACCGTGGCTTATCTTTGGCATGCAATAGGCAAACATGAATGCTGAGGACATTGTTTCTCTGCTTGTATCAGTGGGTTATTCAGACTTTATTCGAGGTCATTTGAACCATCTGACATAACAATCCGCTCTAAAGCACACAGGTATGATTCAATACAGATTAATAATCTCTCCAGGGCTTCTTACAAGTTCAATGTCTCCTCAGTGGCCCGAGCTGATCACGTCGATCCCACTTTGGACGCTGCACCTTTCGACTCGGTAAGTCACATTTTCCGAATCTATTACCGAAACATTTAGCTAATATATGTCGTTAGACTCCTTTCACCTTTGACTCACAGTTCTTCCTCGAAACCCTCTTGACTGGTGTCGGATTCCCTGGAACTACCAGTATGCACCTGCTCGTTGACTATCCAATAAAACCTTGAAATTGATCAAACTTGGCGTACTTAGACAACACTGGTGAAGTTTCCTCCCCTCTTCCCCTCACTGTTGGCGACAACGTTGGAGAACTCCGACTCCAATCGGACTTCGAGCTGGCTCGTGACTCCCGAACTGCCTGTTTCTGGCAATCAATGATCAGTACGTTTGGAGTATTCGACGAGCTCACAGTCCATTGCTTTAATGTCTCTTCCTCTCTTGCCTGTTTCCCAATAGACCAGGAAGCTTTGATGGCATCGAGGTTCAAAGCTGCCATGGCAAAGATGGCTGTTATTGGACACAACGCGAACGACCTGATTGACTGCTCCGCCGTCGTCCCGAAGCCTGTTCCTGCTTTGAACAAACCCGCGACGTAAGTCGAAATCATTGGATACCGATATGTACGTTGGTTGCTAATCAGTCGTGTACTCCAGGTTCCCAGCGACAAAGACGAAGGCTGATGTGCAACAAGCTTGCCCTGAGCCCTTCCCAAATCTCACCACTGATCGTGAGTGCCCTTGCTTGCCTTTGATGACGCTCATGTCAATCTCCCTCCAGGTGCTCCCAGGGAGACCGAAATTCCTCATTGCCCCGACAACGAGGCCACTTGCACTTCCTGAGCAAACGTGTGCTTGGGTTCTACGGGTTCACTTTATGTAGGGAGTTTCACAGGTTGCTGACGGTCGTGAATAAATAGAGAGCTTATGCGTACAAGTTGTAGATAAGGTGTTGAAACATACACGGCAATAATCAACGAATCATATAAGTCGAAAATTTCTAAGTTCTTCTTCCACGTCTTATCTCTCTTTCATACGAATTTACATCGATTCATGATATCTCTCATCACCCAGGCGGACTTTGTTCGACGATAAACGCTCCCCGGAGTCACTGAGATACGAGTATGCGAGTAGGGCGATCTAGCGATGTATAAGACGTCTTGTGCTAAATGTAGGTCGAGGGTATATCCAAGCCAGGTTCGGTCCTTACCGTGGTATGGTGATTGTGAGACGACACGAGGAGGGCTCCATTTGGAACTTTTCTATGCTCTTCCATCGATGATACTAACTACGACTCCAGGGGTTATTGCTTCCGCATTGTATCAAGCATCGTCAGTAGAAATCAGAATGTTAGGGCGTCGATCCTTGTGTCCTTCGTCCATGTTGATATAGCATCTTTGCCTGCCAAGGTTCCTGTCCTTAATGCTAGTTGTACTGTATGTATGCCGACCTTTTTGACTTTTACTCCAAGCGTTAAAGCGCCTAGCAGCTTTGTTGGAACTTCTCCCACCATTTAATCCACTAGATGTACACAGAATGCCATACTTGCTGTAAAGCTCTTTTATTCCATGAATCCACATCTTTTCCTTTTCATTTACATAACCAACTTGTTGGTTGGGAGCTATCCCCAGTACCGTCGTATTGAGTGCGGAAAGGATATCTACAATGTCTTCGACTGCTCTGGACGCCCATGGAAATTGAATCGTTGAGATATTTTGTGCCCAGAAGGGTATCTGGCGATTTGCCCTCTTCTACCCACCGAATCATCGCCGTTAACACGTTCCCATCAGGGTTCAGAAACTCCATATCCAGCTGTACTCTTTTGAGACTCCTCAGAGTTTGCCCGATAACCCAAGCACCGTCGCCTCCCCGACAATGGCCGGTTCCACTGATGCGAAAGAAGCGATAAAAGTCATCAATTTCGGAGGGGGGAAGGTTCATAGTATGCGAAACGTGATTGTAATATCGTTCAGAATTTGCAGGAGAAATTAGTCCATCGGCCTGACCATGCCAAGTGATGAGCTTCCCGTTCCTCGATTTGAATCGCGATAAATCTCCTTCCCAAGTATTGATGTTGAATGGATTGACCGCTTCCGAGTAAGCCCAGTCGGTCATATTCAACTTGGTAACGTCGAATTCTGGATCATTGTAAAGACTATAACGGAACCAATCCTACGTGCATAATGAGAACGGGAACCCCTGTGAGATGGCTTAGAACGTTTGATACGCACAACGGTGAAAGGGAAAGGCTTCCCGCTGTACATTGCGGCTATGATCGATGCGTCCTCACTTCCTGGTTGTTGTCTCGGAAACCAAAGCTCTCCCTCGGGGCTGTATAATGGACTGAATATCTTCCGAATTGCCCTTGCCTGTCCCCCGGAAAGACACTTCGACTTGTCTCTTACATTAGACGAGCAGATTAGTCTTTCCGGTTTATAGTCACACAAGTTGGGATCCTCAATAACACCGTCAGCGACACCATCGATAGTATCGCATTGTTGCATGATATCGGGGTGAACGAGATTCTTCCACTGCTCCTCTGTTATGAACGATTCAGATCCTGGAGGACCAGTGATTCCGTAGTGACGACCGCTCCAGGACAAGAGACCAGAGAAGGCATTTGCCGGGGCACCAGCGATAACTCCATCGAAGTCCTCTGGAAAGTCTTGTACCGACTTGAGACCTTGTCGACCACCAGTAGAACAACCAAGATAGTATGATTTCGTATGTGATTTTCCATAGAATTGCTTGGAAATCGCTTTCCCAATGACAACGCCAGTATGTACCCTGAAGACATTATTACAAGAGATCAACGTCGAACGAAACGACAAGGAAGAGAACACCCTAGTACTTACGAGCGGGATGCATAATCCTCAACGACATCAGGATTTCGGAGGAAGGCTTTTCCGCTAGTACCGTTGTGACCATTGTTAGCCCCAACAGTGGCGATTCCGAGTGCCGAAGCATAGGCCATATCCTCATACTGAATGCCTGCTCATCTGTAAGCAATTTTTCGGGGACTCGAAAGATGAGTAGAAACATTTGAACTCACACCCGGATAGTCCGCCATTACCTGTACTCAAAAATCTTCCAGTCCAGTTTCGAGGAAGCCAGATCTCCATGTTGATGCCGGACCTGTTTGAAGTAGATACATACATAGCAATGCGGCATGTATCTTCAAATACCAGTTGCGATGGACGCTCGCAGCTGGGATGGTTGTCGGAAAGTTGTACAGTAGTTCCCGCGAAAAGGAGATCGGAGAAGTATACAGTGGTATTTGGTATCGAAGATTCGAGTTGAGGAACGATGGAAGAACACATTGCATTGAAGTCAGAGCTTGTTTTGACAGTTATTCCAGCAAAGGAAGTAATGCGAAGCCCGGATAAAACAGCCTTCATAAACACCGAACGTAGTCGGAACTGTGATAATGTTTCAAAGGCAGTGGAAATCAGACCATCCATCCTAAGGGCTACATACGTCATCATTGGCTTATCGAAATTTAGACAGAGTGGGATTGTCGCTTACAAGACCTTCCTTAGCTTTTAGATGGCCGTTTAAAGACGGGAAATGTAGCGTGCGAGCAGTCACTTACATAAAGCTTATCAAGGCTTATCATGTACATAGTGTGAACGGTAAGACTTCATAATGCATGGCAAGGATAATGTACAGCGTTCGATCCTACACATTTTAGCAAGTCCAATCATGAACTGATCATGAAGTATCTACTTGTTCTTATACCAACCTCAAGGAATTCTTCTGATCTACATCGAACCACCTTTCGCTTCCCATTTTTCGTATCATTCTCTCCCTGGTCTCTTGACATTTCTGTTCCCGCCCGACACAATCCTCCCAGGTTTCAACCATATCCTCCCAGTCGGCACCCATTGTCTTCCACATCTTCGCACAGACCCACGGCACAGTGACACGAGTATCGGTAGACTGGATTCCAGTGCCTTCTATGTAGTGGTTCACTACCGATTCTACCGAGGGCACAACGAGACGGCGAGTAAACCTCGTGATGGAAATGAAGCACGCCAGGGCAACAAACACGCTAATGACATAGTTAAGATACGAGCCAGGCGAAGGGCCCTGCAAGAGAACAAGTCGGTAGATGGATAGGAGGAGAACGAATGGGATGTGGAGTGCAAAGATCATCCACAGCACCTTGTATACCCATTTCTTAAAAGAAGATGGTTTTAGCGTTTCGCGGAGGAAACCACTGGGACACAAGAGAGTGTCGCTCCAACGATCGATTCGCACCAATAGTTCGAACGATTTGATGAGAGCTTCATAACAATCCCCACAGGTGTGGCGACATTGACATTGTGATGGTTTGTATCTGAACACAGTGCTCAAGGAGCAATTGGTGCACCCGCAACTTGAACTTGTGGGAGAATAATAAGGCCTAACCCTTGAAGCCTCCTTCTTCTTTCGGATCTGTAAGCACCGTAGCAAGAAAGTATATCCCGCATTCACACATCGTACAATCTTTTCGAAAGTGCGCCAGGAACTGACACCCAAGATGAGCACGGTGTAGCCTACGAGCGCGGTGAGGATCTGCAGGTAAGGCTGAGCAGTCGTTCTGTATACGTGTAGGTCTGGAACAGATGTGTTATTGTGATGACAGAACGACATTGTTTCCTTGGAGTTTCTCGAACTCAAAGTGTAATCGCAACTGAGGGTTTGGAATCAGCTTGCTATTTCAAAAACGAACATTGTCTAGAAAAATCACCCCAGTTCAGCATGAAAAGTTTCCTTCACCAGCAACGTCTTGTATTGCAAATCTGCGTCATACAGATACAACAGTCCAAGAAAGAGCATCATGACTCCGAGGGAGAATAAGCCGTACTAGAGATCGATTGAGTTTTGTCAGTGGGGTAGGAATCCACTTTGGCGAAAAACACTTACGCCAAGAACAGCCCCGAGGAGATCTTCCAACCAACTCCTCCGAGTTTGCTTCAATAACGTCTCACATTTGATAAAATCAAGGCTCATCCCTGAAGAAAGGTCAGAGTCCATTGTTTGAGCGTGAAGGTCCGGTGCAAGGTCCTGGTCAGAGTAGTCATAGTTGTGCGCGAATCCTGGATCATGCTGAACCGTCTGTGCTCCGTAAGTCTTGTAGTCAACTGCAGCCCCAGTTGTACCTAAGTGGTATGGGTAAAGAGGCTCAGATACATCAATTGGGCCAAACTCCTGAGGCGGAGGATACATGTCATAGACGGGGGCTGAAGTGGGGAGAGGAGCTAGTGGGTACGAGTACCCAATAGGGGAACAGGGGTTAGAAGGAACTGGGGGAGTGTGTGTGAAAGGGTTCACAAATTGGAGGGGATATCCTCCGTATGGATCTGGGGTCCATGAAGGCGTAAAAGGGGTAAACGGGAGAGATCCTCTGAGATCCATGTTTCCAAGTGTATCTGTGTCGCATGCGCCTGCACCCATGTCTGTTCCCAACCTTGGCAGAACAAAATGGGAAGAACCCATATATGTGTGATGAAAAGGATAAGGAGGACAGCTACTATCGACGTGGTCACGTAGCAAGTCGACACCATTCTGGAATCCAGGAGATACCGTCCCGATGGTAATAATCTGAGCTTCCAGCTTGTTATACACTTCGTCGGAATCGTGGCTTCTAATGATGTTGTCGTCCCGTAGTTCTGGCGTGTTACACGCGGGCAATGGCACAGGCGACGAGAATAAAGAACGTTCACCCGAATCCTGGGGGTTATCTGCTTGAGCAGGCTATGAGGTGAAAGTGGCCACGAGCAACACCGCGCCCGGTGCTACGATAGAGATACTTACCATATTCCAAAGGAATTGTTGAGATAAGAGAGAAAGAGGAGATTCAGGGATGACTCTATCGAAATACACAGAAGCATATCAAATTCTTATATCACCTATGAGCGCTTTCGTTTCCAATACAATGGTGGCGTTATTACCAATGAGGAAAAGATGAGGAAAAGATGTAAGCAAGTGTGGCAAGTGATCCACCTAACGGTACACGCACATGAAGCTTTTCTTGTTGGAGAAACATCAAGGACACTGGTTCTAATTCCAGATTGAGACGAAAAGATATGCGAAGATAGATAGATACGACACCATTATGCTTCTGTGCAGTGCAGAGGTATGGAAGTAAACCGATGCAGAGTTCTTGGCAGGTTGAGCGTGTCAGAAAGATCAAGGCGGTGCAGCACATGCGGATGGGAACTAGCGGATGGATTGTAATTGATGTAGCAAAAACGCAAGGACGATTCATTATGTGCATCGAAATTCACGGGCATATCCAAAGAGGCGTCTTGATTTATTGTAACCTGGTCTCTCAAATATTACACCGAGGCAGTGGCCAGATCGGCGAGCGGCTATGTCGGATCCTGAAGGTTTTGAGGATACGAAACAGCTGTAGAGTCTAGGAGTCATGATCAGTTCAATAAAGATATAGAGTTCATAACTGTTGAACAAGATGGGCGTTCAACAAATTTCCTCTCCTGCTCCGCGCCTGAAGCGCTTAGCATGTTATCAGGGCTACTACCATGCCTGTATCAAGCTTTGCAGGTAAAGAAAGGTTGACCAATCAGCTTTTCATCATGCAAAAGCAACGAATATTGATTTTCGGTATGTTCCATGACTGCTTTGTTGTAGGCTCTGTGAATTAATAGCATAGTAAATTATAGTACGTTGTTGAGCATGCGCATCCCCTGCGAGTAGCGTGGTGCTGCAAAAGACTAGTAGCTTACTCAGAAGTCGACTGTGAATGACTCGTTCGCAGAAATGAGTTCCAAATAGTTACAAGCCAGTCGGATTCACGCAAAATTGTTGATAGTCCCTGGGCTTGACCTTCGAAGTAGACAGAACTGTAACGGCAAAAAAACTATGAAAGAGTTGAATGAAGGTCTCCCAAAGGTCTCCCATAGATTCTTATCAACTTATTGTAGTAGTGCAAAAGGCCCAAAGATTGGCGGTGGTGAGAGTGCAGAAAGTTATATGTCAAGTCCGAAAAATCCGAGGTCGAGACGTAGCACGTGAGAAGTGACGCCATTATTTCTCGCGTGATATGAATTGTATGTATTTCGGACAAACAACCTTTTTGCATCTGCTCTTTGACCACGACGATAAACCGAACGGTTGAAAACACATCCCGGTCAACTTTCACGGTGTTTTTAGGTCTAATACGATGAGCAGAAAAGGATCGAAGGGTTCCAAAACTGAAGTTGCTTCGTATGAAGTCGGGGATATCGTGTTGGGTAAAGTACGAGGATATCCACCTTGGCCTGGACGAGTAAGTCGAACACGATCAATTTTTCGCGTGCTTACTCCTCGGCTCCTCATTCTAGGTCGTGGAGCCCGCGTCTATACCCAGCGACGTCGTCAAAGAACGACCGCCTTCCAAAAAGGGTGTAGTTTACTGTGTTCAATTTTTCCCTACTGGAGACTTGTACGAATATTTTACAAGGATCCTCTGAACTCCACTTATTGCTTGGCCTGTAGCTCCTGGCTAAATCCAAAAGATATATCCAAACTTAAACCCAACGAAGTAGAATCATACATCGCCGACCACACCGAGGGCAAACGTTCAGGAGACCTTTTGCAGGGTTACAAGATTGCTCGTGACCCCACAGAGTGGGCACAAGATCTTGCAGAAAAAGCTGCCGCTAAAGCAGAGGAGGAAGAAGCGAGGGGTGACATCGACGAAGAAGATGAGTTGGTCGATGACGGCGAACGACCTGCGGGGAGCAAGAAGAGGAAGGCCCCTAATGCATCTGCTTCAACAGCAACGAAGAAACGTAAACGCAACTCAGAGCCAGGGACGACGACAAAGAAGGGTGCAGGGAAGGGACGTAAGTCGAAAGCTGCCATCGAATCAGAAGACGAGGAAGGTGCTCAAGAAGCTCAAGCGGCGAGCAAGAGTGCTCCTACCGCATCGCCACCACCTTTGAAGAGGACCAAGACGACCACCTCAGGAAAAGAAGAGAATCCGGATGACGGTCAGTTATCTATGTCTTCCATTCACAACTTCATCTCATTCTATTGCGTCTCTTTTGCTAACTGTTGTTCAGCCGAACTTTCCAAGGATCCTGAAGCTACAAAAGTGCGCGAATGGCGACATAAGCTACAAAAAGTCTTCTTGAGCTCCAAAGTTCAAGCTCCCAAAGCAGATGATATGCCGGATATGAACGACTTATTCACGCAGATCGAAACATACGACAAAATCAACATCGCATATCTCTCCGTAAGTCTATCCCAAGTACCAAAATTACCATCGATTCTTTCTTATTTTTCGCCCTGATGACATTATTATTCTATTCGCAGTTCTCCAAAATCGGAAAAGTAATGCGCCACATCACCGCGCTTTCCGATGATAAAGTCCCTTTGGACTCCCAATATAAATTTCGGGACCGTGCCAAAGTCCTCGTAGAGCGTTGGCAACATATCATTAACGCCAGTAGGGTAGACGGTAAAGACTCGTCTAAACCCCTCGGGAAGGATTCCGGTTTTGGATCGAAAAATTCTGCAGCAAATGGAATTGGTTCCAAAAACTCACCGGGAGGTTCGCAATCCCCTGCTGCCAACAATGGGATAGACGAAAATATGAACGGGATAGCGGACGCGATCAATACTAGCATTGCGACAGGTACAATGGAAGTCGATGACGGAGCCTCGCCGAAGGTGAATGGTAATGGTCATGTCAATGGAGGTAAGGGTATCCACCGTCATGGACTCCTTATATTTCGTCTCCTTTCTTTCTTGAATCGAGGCACACATGGGAGTCGGTGCTAAGAGGTAGTTCGTTTTTCCAATCTTTTGCGAGTTGGCTTGACTCGTAACGACACCCCTTTAAAAAACTCTCAAGGATTGATTCTATTGGTCGCCCTTTTCATTGCTGATATCATTTTCCTCTAGACGTACTTGTCCCAGCTGCGTCAACTGCGTCAATTGATACACATATCGGGCCCAACGCTGATGCTGTCGGCGATGTCTCCCTACTTCCGGATATCACCATGTCTGAGATTGGTGTTGAGTGAACTGTTGCCCTAGTATACATTCTGTGAGTTTTCGATACCCATCAGGTCTCTAGGCCCAGGAGTTAGCGACTGATTCGAACGACCTTTCAGGCTGCAAAAAGGTATTCTTTCATGCGTAGCGCTGATCTAATGTGCTTTTGTCCTTGGTATTGCTTCTCTCTCTATGTGTTATGCTAAGTGATATGTACAACGTGTTCTTTATATGACTTTCCACGTTAGCCTGACACGATCAGCCTGGCTCGCTATGGTTGATCAAGGAGACCCACCACTGCCGTCTCCATTCTCGATTTCCTTTTTATCTGTCGAAGTAATCTCTTACTTGGCGTTGTCTGAGACCTGTTATTTTCACTATGTTTTTTGTATCTGTGCCTTTTCGTTTCATCGTTGTTTTCACGTCACGCCGCTCAGTTCGTACACACTACATACAGTCAATCTGAGTATCTTATTGATCTACTGTTGTCCAAACAATGATATTCTGGGCTGCCATGTTCAACTCTTGGACAGAACCCGTGTAAAAAACTTTTCTTTACATAATATATAGATTCGTATAAGCACAGCCACTCTGTATCCATATAATTCTTGAGCCCCAGTGGAACATGATTCAATATTCGAAAGATTCTTCCAACCCGGCGAAAAAAATGTAATCACTTCCTAAAGATACAGATCGGGCTCGTTAGCCTTGCGTCGGAACGTGGAAGCCTGTAAAATAAGGGTAAAAGTTGGAGGACAAAGCTACAGGAGGTCCGACCGACATCGTTCAACTGATTGAGCATTATTACCCCACTAGATCACAAATATGAATTTGTAGCCCTGGAATGGGGCGGGGACAGACCTGACTCACCCAATTTGCCATTGGAATTGTCTTCGCAGCACTGAAAGCGACGAAAATTATGAGTAGATTGAAGTTGTAGCCCGTATCGGCAGCGGCGCTGCACAAATAAGCGTATTTCTTCCAGAATGCGTAATAGTCTGGGGGCATAATTAGTGATAATCAGTATAATACTTCACACTGCATGCACTTACATCGTTTGACCCAGAGATGATTGAGCGTGCCAAGCATGAAAAGAGTGAAAAAATATACACTTATATTACCGTAGCTCCCGATGAGAGTCAGTATGCACTTCAAAAGGAACTTCAATATCACATACTAATTTTCAAAGTTGTCAAAGAACACTGGTATGCTCCATAAATCAAAACGAGCCCGAGGCCATTTACGGTGAAGAAGATAGAGGATACATGGAGCGACAGCGCCCACCAAGAATCCATAAAGCTGGAGTAGTTAATGTGGTGAGTTGGGAAGAAAGCATGTTAAGCTTGGTTTACCATGGGTGTGTAAATGGCGTCGGCAAAAAGACGCTTCGGCCCGACAAGCGCAAAAGAAATACTCTGATTATTTAGCGAGATGACGGTTTGACCCTGGAGGGTCTCTTAAGCACTTGTCCCATAGCAGAGGGGACAACACGCACTGTCCATTGTCGATTGGGATCAGTAACCAGACCCTTGAGAATATCGCCCTTGGTCTGGCAGACCCAAAGGACTTGGACAACGTGATCAAGAGCCATCTACTTCATTCATATGTTGAGAGACTCACTAGTAGCATAACTGAAGAGATGTATCGGGAACAATTCGAAATGCGAACCAATACACTTACTTGACCGGAACGCCGACGCAAATGCCCCATATCTGGGCCAATAAAACTTTACGAGGAGGAATATGGAACTATTGTGAGTTGTAGACCTTCAGTTTCGAAGCAAGGTCCAATGAGCTTAAAACCCACATAGTGACCACTAAGCACAGAAGGTAGGTTCGACGCATTTATTGCGAAATCGATGATCACTCACAGTTTCATGTCAGCGAGCATACTTTGTGCTTCGTACCAGCCTATAACCATTGGTAGTCAGTCCCATAGCGCAGTGCTAGTAGCGTTTGCAATTCGTACATTGTCCGCTGATTACACGGTAACTCAAAGCCCCCACAGGATGTCTCGAACCACCAGCATTTATCGCGTACCCGTAAAAGAGCTCGTTGAAGTAGCCCACTTGCATCTGATAGCCACTGACAGAATATATAAAAGCTAACAGTAGAAGCGTTAGACGGCGAGTCACGACGGGATAATTATGGAAGTCCGGACCCATTGGTAGTACTATAACGGCGCCAATGGCAAGACCAATGAAAAGCATGTAGATCGGCATGTACACTGTATATGATGTTAATACTGGTCGCTACTGAGCGAAGGCCTGAAAAGCTTACAAACACCCTTCGCGGCCAGGATGATCAAGATAATGACAGGTACACTTCATCCTATGGTCAACGTCCATAGTCAAAAGATCTTGAAGAGACATCATACATGAAAAGAACAAAGTTCCACCATATCGGAACCGCCGGATACCGCCGGATGATTTCTGTCAATCTATCGTTGGAAGTGGGCTTCGCTTGGCGATAGGTCTTGAAAGTCCTCCAAAGATTGGGGCCTTGGAAAAGAGCGCAGGATACAAAGGACCCTAAATATGCGACATAGGCGGCGAAGTCTGAATCTGCGTTAATACAAATGAAGTATTTCGCGAGTGAGTGACCTACAGTTCCAGCGCAGTTGTGCTGACATCAACGGGGGGCCGATTTCTTCGAATAAAGTCTCGTTGAGACCGTAGCTAGCGGTTATAAGGTCGGCTGTAGGATACTAGATTTGATATCAATCATAGCGCACAGCGTACGAAGTATAAACACCTACAACGGATCCGTTCCTCAAATACAGTGCCTGGGACTGGATCGGATAGATTGCAGAGTCCCAGGCGTTGGTGAAGAACGCGACTGGAATAAGGATCCAAGCAGCTATGACAGAGGATGCAAAAATGTTCACTTGCGCCCAGTAAGGGTAGTAAACGCATTGGGATCCAATATTAGACCAATCGAGAGTAACCGTCAGGAATCCTGCACCGCCTAATCCTGAACCTACATCTCGTCTTAAACTAACATTCAAGAATGACATACTGAGGTCTCACCCAGGAATTGCGCTTTGGGGTTTTCGGAGAACCAGCAAAGGAACGCGAGAGATGATACGAAAGGAAATGCGTACTAAAATCACAGTGTTAGCTGCGCGTCGAAATCAGATGTTCTATTCACCTCTGGGAGAAATTGCCAAAGAAAGAAACCGAGGATGAACCACCAGAAGACTCGCATTTGTTTTTGAGCACCGACTGCATCTTCTTCTATCGATTGGCGCATCGCATTGAATACCGCGACTTGTTGAAGCGCTAGATTTATTCACGATAAGTGGTGGCCGAGTTTCAGTAAAGACAGATGTCAGATATAATACCTAGAGGAAACCTTAGTAAGGCCGAGTAAATGTGAGCATCTAAATTCCAAGCCCGACATAATCGAACGTACGGAGTGGTAGGGTTCTCCACCAAAAACACTCGTGCGAATGAGGCGAACGAGAAGCCGACGAAGACACACGACAGCTGAGGGTCAAGAATGTCAAATCGACGATTGAACCAAAGACTCAATACAGCACGCACCATAAATAAAATGGCGAGCTATAACAGGGATTTTAGCATGTGAGATAGTGATTAGGACATTGCAATATAAGCTTACCCATCCGTTCATTGCTACAGGAGAGCAAGTTGTCAATTTGAGAAATCCTAACACTATAAAATTACAGAGACTTGCGTTTATCATAGAATATCTGCAATGGAGCAAGCACGTAATCTCCGAGGTTGTTCATAGCTCCAGTGTTGGCACTATAGTCGCGAAATAAGTAAGGTCATTATTTTCTAGAGACAGACCAGACGCACGATAGAACGATAGCAACATGCTCCTTGATCGAGAACGGTCCTGGATTGAGTTCGAAAGAAAACTGGCCGAGACCAATTTGCTTCTGGGGAAGTGTGGACGCGAGCATACGGCCAAAATAAAGGGCGGCAATTTGAACGAAGTAAACTGTACGAAGAATCTGGGTTTGAGAATGACATAATTATGTATAGACTTACTAGAATACGGAACATAGGTCGTCTAGTATGAAAGTCTCGTTAGCACTGGCTGAAAAAGAGGCGAAAAAGCGTACTCTGAAGAAGCCCATTTGTGTGAGCCATCTAACATTAGCTCGACGTTAGGTTCAACGGGGAAATGATGATTGATTCATTCACTCACGCTCCAAGAGCAGTCAAAGTCCCAGACAGAAAGAAAAATCTGGAGTTATGTCATAGCAAGGGTGTGAATGGACCTGGATACGCGATATTTTACGATAGTTTCATACCTCCATGTAATCACTGGCATCGTAGGATCGTCTTCGAAGTCGACGAGCTCCCGAACTATCTGCGGGATCATGGCAGCAGCAGGGTCATTGTTTTCATCTGAGGAGCAAAAACAGTCGGTCAAAACTATATCACCGTAAAAGACATCTTTAAACACACCGTATTCCTCGATATCCTCCTTACTATCGCTTTCATTGTCATCCAACGCTTTATTTTCGCTGCCTAAATATTCTAATGCCTCGCTACCTTTCCCAAGAACCTTAGTAAGGACGTCGGTGTCCATGGTGGGGTTTTCAGCACGATCAACCATTGATGACGAAGTGACTTCCAACAGGCTAGAGATACCGGATAACACACACTTTTATATGATCCATGGTTTCTCCCTAAGTCAAATAAATGAGGAGATAAGTACTAATCTTCCGTGCTAATAACGAAAGCACACTGAACGATTCAATGTGGAGCCAAGACCATCTGATATGCCACATCATGGCTCGCATTCATACAACGAAGGAAGAGAGAAAGCAAGCAGCGTCGGCAATTACTGGTTAGATACCTGTGAAAAAGGACTGTGAGTTGCTGCGTAGATGCGTACGAGTCCGAACAATAATCATCAAGCTATCATCTCTCCTTCGCCTCACCGATGAAAGAACATACCCAAGATTTCCGTACGCAACTTCACATGTTCCGGATTAGTCACGAAACTTGGTGATTGAAGGGGAATTAAAGCAAGGTGGAAGAAGGTTGAGGATTCGAGAATATAAAGCGGCACACGGTCTATCATATTCAAATTTCACTAAGATAATATTCGAATGATACCGTGTATTCACTGTACCTTTGAGAAGCTACCTCTTATCGCGCTATCGACGCCACTCTACGCCACTGCGATATTTTTATGTAGAAGATTATTACGAGTCAGCGTTCAACGTGCACTCTTCCTAGTCGGGAGGACGCGGAAGTTGGTGGTAGTAAAGGCAGGATGTAGGCTGTAAACCAGAAGATATGGGTAAGTGTATACAGTCCGCAGAAATTCGTGAACTGGAGGGCACAGGCGCATGATTCCCTATGAGGCGTGTGAAAAGAAAAGACGCGTGGGCGATCGCCACGTGCCTACATGATCTCATAATAAGTATGTCAAAGCTTCTCATGAACTTCCAACCTGGCTCGTAGCTACCCGAAGAAGATGCGTAGATCTTCTGGGCAAGTAGATTGTTCAGGTGCTCTCTACCTCTTAAATCTGACAATGCCTATTTCAGCTTGATCGACTATTGTCTATTTTGTATTTCCTTCATGCAAATGATCTTTAAAAAAAGCACGACTTTAAAGCGTGGCTTGAACCGAAGCTCTCATATCACACAGTCCGCCATCCATCCGACTCCGTAACGGCAGTTCCCGACGAATTGCTGGGACTTTCTTTCCCCATTTCGCAAGAAGAGAGCGTCACCTTCGGTCATAGCCATGACTCGCATCTAGCATCCACTACACGCATTATGCTCGCAATTACATCTGCAACAATCTCTTCAAATACAAATGCCTCAAGGCTCCTCGAGGCTGGAACACAGATCCGAAAGCTCTGTTTCGCCTATCGATAAATGTCGCCCTCCTGTCCAGCTTATTTTGCTGCGGCTTCTTACTTACAAGCCACCAGTTGACTCGGGATGAAGAGCTTGATAAGGTTAGGCCCACTGCTGTTGATCTTCATCTCTTCTCATAAGTCAGTTGAGCTTTCAAAACTGCTCAATTGTGCTTCAACTTCATTCCTTCCCTTTCCCTCTGTAGTCCACTCGATTCACGATGACCACCTACGGACTTCCGTACTTCCTCGAAGACAAGACTGGAAGACTAACCGGATCGGATTTTGTGGACATCCATGATCGCTTACGACTCACTTACCGACGCTCTACCGAAAGAAATTCATCGCATACCGCCTATATGATCTATAACACTAGCGCTCATGTCTCTCATCCGCAACCTCTTATGGCTTTGGATTTTGGACCAGGGAACTCTCTAGGAACTGTGTCATTTTCATCGAAATTATGCGTATCAATGAAGAAGTACCTCGCGAAAGTGCCGTGTAAAGGAAGGTACGCCCGCTTGTCCTATCCCTTCCAGCATAGTTTTTCATGACCCTCCAGAACGTACAAATTCCTTGCTTCCGATTCGCAAGAGTACTTCTGGAGTTGGCGATCGCAGGCAAATCAAGAGTGGACCGTCTGTTAATCTTTGCTCAGTGTCCACTCCAAGTATTCATTCGACGTTGTACTCACAGTGCACGAATACGAGTGGATATCTCACGGCGTATTATAGTCTGAAGACCCCAGGAGAACCTCAGTACGAAGGATCTTCGGGATGCTCCTTAACAGTCGATGAATCATTCGGACATTTGGCCTCGGGTAAGTCATATTTCTACCTATACATAATTCCAAACCATCTGAGTTTTTTTTGGTAAAGAAATATTGGCGTCCTTGATGATATTGCGGCATATATCCGAATACAACCTGTGACTATTCGACCTCGCGCTTTTCACTCCTGTATTTCTGGTGCTCGACCTACCCTCACGAATTAACCGCACCGTTTTCGTATACGTTTCGAATTGTAAGTATAAGTGATGTATTGCATATATGTATCATAGTCATATTTCAGATGTACATAATAAATACCACCCAATTTATTTATCCAACAATAGTGACGTTGTTTTATGTACGTTCGTTAAGAATGCCAAGCGATAGTAGGCGATAGTCTCGGAAGTTGGAACGCTACTGCCTTGCGCTGTGTTCCGCTCTGTGTACGGAGCTTTTCATCTACAAATATTCCCGACTACCAATCACCGATGACTTCGACTAAACATTGTAACCCCTCTTGAAAGTAGTCGGTCAAATGAGCCCGGCTCGGTTCGTTGTTTCCTCGCAAAGGCTAGATTGTGACTCGAGAAGGATTCCAGGCTGTCCCGACGCATATGTAGACCAATTCCGAAAGCAGAGCTCATAGTTTTAGGAGAGATGCTGAGAGATGTGGGGGGAGTGCGCTCCAATTTTCAACCCTGATTCATACTCAATGTGAGACGCAAGTGGCTTCATTGAACAGTTCCCTATAACCCGAACTGAAGCGGGCTCCGCAACTATACACCGGCTTTCACCGCATAGGCTCAAAAGCGTTTCAGAATGGTGTCATAGGTATAAAAGGTTGGTCCCTCGAAGCGAGTTGCTCACACTCAAGAAGACATGTTCAATCTTCCCAGTCGTACTACCGTCCTCTGGATTGCGGTTTTTGGCTTGCGGTCTGTGTTCGCAGATCTCAATAATGACTTGACCGGTACCGGAGTTCGTGCTGTCTTCCCGGGAGACAGCAACTATGCAGCTGCCAGTGCTGCCTGTAAGTGTCTCCCGGTTCGTAGTCAGACGATTAACTTATTTGACGGCATATCCACCAGATAACCTCCGGTTCGTGTTCGAGCCATCTGCTGTGGCCTATCCAACGACACCCGAGGATGTATCTTCCATTATACAGGCAGGGATTGACAACAATCTCCAGGTAGTGGCTCGTGGTGGTGGGGTGAGCATTATATCTTAAACCACTATGCTTGTCGTCTTAATACCACAATTCCAATAGCACAGTTATGTGGCCAACGGGTTAGGCGGCAAGAATGGATCTCTCGTTATCGATATGAGTGGCATGAAGAATATTACCATTGATCATTCTTCGAATACAGCCGTTATTGGAACAGGAAATAGACTAGGCGACGTGGCTCTGGCATTGAATGCTGCCGGACGCGCAATGCCCCATGGAACATGTTCTTATGTTGGGATAGGCGGCCATTCAGGTAATCCTCATTCCGTTTCTTGACTATGCAGACGTCGGAGTCAATAAATTTCTTGCAGCATTCGGCGGCTACGGATTCACTTCCAGGCAGTGGGGTCTTGCTCTCGATACTATATTTGCCATAAATGCTGTCCTAGCCAATGGCACCATAGTGAGAGCGACAGAAGACTCGTATCCGGATCTCCTCTGGGTAAGTACTTGTATTTTGTTAGGCATCGTTAGTCGTTGACTCCCATTCAGGCCCTGAAAGGTGCTGCCCCTTCCTTTGCAATTACTACATCCATAGAAATCAACACATATGCTACACCATCTTATGCCATCGTTATGGAATACACCTGGTCGAACATGGATTACGAAACAGCAGGACAGTCCATGTATTCGTTCCAGAACTTCTCTCTTTCTGGTCCAGCTTCCCCTTTCGCCGGAGAACTTGTCATTTCAAGAGGGTCTGAGGAGGGCCAAGTCACATTTGGTTTTACTGGCGCTTGGTATGGCGAAGAGGGCTCTGCTATCCCGACTATCCAGCCATGGCTAGATACGATGCCTACGCCCACTCAATCTAGCTTAATTGGAGACGGTTCCTATATTGACACAGTCTCCCAATTATCTGGCACGAGTTTAAATACTTCCCAAGCAGCTGACTCCACCGATACTTTCTATGCGAAGTCTATCATGACTCCAGAGAACGATCCTATGAACTTGGAATCTTGCACAGCATTCATGCAATATCTTGCAACCCAAGGATTCCATTCGAACACGGTGAGTCACAGTCATAGCTTTTCAAAGATTTACCTTCGATAATTGTTGTTGCAGAATTGGTTTGTCGAAATTGAGCTTTACGGTGGTCCCAACTCGAAAATTCGCTCGATCCCCAATAATGCTACCGCGTTTTCGGGTCGTGATACACTGTTCACTTTCCAACTTTACGCATCTTCATCAAATTCTTTGCCGCCTTATCCCGAAGAAGGATTCTCCTTTTTGGATAACATGGCGACGAGCATCACTTCAAATATGCCCTCTACTTGGAGTTATGGGGCGTACACAAACTATATCGACGATCAGCTGGAAAATTGTATGATTCGAATTCACCAGTTCTATCACGCCCTGCTAATTGGTAATGCTTTATGCAGGGGAAACTCTTTATTTCAACGAAAACTACCCTAAGCTTCAGTCCCTCAAAGACCAACTGGATCCCCAGGGTCTATTCATGTTCCCGACTTCGATTCAAGAGTAATTCTACTGCTTAGAGAAAGGATTCGTAATGTTCGGACTACTTTTGCTATAAGCGAACAATTGGACTTTCGTAACACAAGGACTTGCATTGTATCATCAACACATTTATACTCGAGTATTACCATATTGATGAAGAACTGCTCAGGCGACGTTGAATATATAACGCTTTGGCCACTGCCTTTTATAGCACTGATGAAGAGATCGCAGTCTCGCAGAAAACCGTACCGCGTAAATGGTACATCTAATTTCGAAACCAGCTGTATTTCTGGCAGTCAATGGACACTGAAATCTCCTCCACCAGCCACCACTCCATGTCGACAAGATCCTTGTGCACGTTCCCTCATGAATCATGGGTCACTACACAATATTCAATTCTGCGGCGCATATGGGTCCGTACTTATGAAGAAAGATTCCTCATCATTATGAGAAGATTGTTGGGTTCTGCTGCATCCTGGCTGCATCGACTTTCCCACCTGCGAATATAGATATTTAACCTTCCGAAGTTCGTATCCTAAAAGGGTAGATTAACCTCAATTCTGCTCGGAAATTCTCAAGGGACTTAGTACACACCGACTAGCGGACAGCAGGTTACGAGTATCGACATTGTTCCCATGCCATCTATGATTGTCGACACAAGCTGGCTCTCTTCCTCGACACTGCGGGCTATATCTGGTACATCGCCAGTCCAACTTGAAGCGCCTCTAGACTCCGCCTTGATTGAATTCAATTCCCGTACGATCGCTTCGCAGGTTAAACGACTGAGCGTGCCGGCAAGAGGGTGACTACCTGGGTAAGTAAGCTCCAACGACGCGTACACATTTCTCGACGCATCTACAAGGCGTTTCCTCGCCTCGTGTACTACATCAAAGGATGAGAATATTGACTGGATGTTCACGCAAGCACAACCGACCGCCGCGTACATGAGGGAAAGCTTCTCTGAACAAATGAATGGAGGGAATGGGGATGACCGTGCTTCCAGCTCTTTGATGCACGAGATCTCGGGAAGCGAGGAATAGAAATTGAGTACAATTTGCTCAAGCCGCGAACACTCTTCAGAAATCTTGTGACGATCCCCTGGTATATGGCTCATTAGGAATTCAAGCGTAAACCCACGAATGAGGGACGAACCAGTGTCTATTTGTTTGTGTAAGTAGACAGCACGATGCAATAATATAGCTGATTTGCTGTATATCCCAAGAGAGGATGTCTCGGGTCGTTGTGGGGCAGTGTCATGCAAAAAATCATACAAGGTTCTTGCAGTGTCTTCCTAAATATGAAGATGAGCAATGAGAACGTACCAGAAATGAAGATTTAGAACTCACAGGACCGTAGTTCTGAGTATTCATTGGCAATGGAGTCCGAATTTCCAGATAGGAATCCAGAGATCCAAAGGAATTGCTAGGAGAACCAACTATGACAGCAAGCAAGCGCTGTATATAGAACACCGACCAAAACGCGTTAATGCGTTCTGCTTGATCCACGGGGCCTGTACAGGGTGGTAATCGTCCCTCAGGATCATCATACACTCCATCCGACGTAGGAATAATTTTATGAAGGCCATACGAAAGCACCAGAGAAATCGCGCCGTTACCATGGAACTCTGCCTCGAGGAACTGGCCCCCATGCACTAGATAAATAATTAAAAGGATTTTGGCTTGGATAAGGTGCATGACCTGTGTTCGGTTCTGGGCTCCAACTCCTTCTAGAGCTATGAATCGACGAGCTCGTCGCAGAAATGCGGTCCCTTTGGCCGATTTCCAAGGCGACGAGGAGATACGAAGACCCCATAAATAAACGCAAGCCAACAAAGCAGGCGACGGCCTTTGAGGATCACCTAGCGGAAGCGGAAGGAGGGCTGAACTGCGGAACGTTTCAAGATTGAGGAAGAATGCGAGTGTGGCACATCGACTGATGAAATTGTCGATCCTGCAATAGCCATTATCAGTTTGATAGAATGACAGTCTTGCAGTGAAAATGATTATTACAAATTTGCACGCTCATGGACCGGGGGTTCCTAAATGATACGTAATCAGAGGTAATATGCAACGAACAATGAAGGGTCGACGTGCAGAATCTGACGAGGAGTAGTCAACATCCAATGAGAAGACAGATTGTGTCAGGTTGCCTATGAGAGATCACTTGCTCAGAATCCGAAAAAGAAGAGATCAAAGAGCGGGCGTACTAGAATGAGGGGATTGAGGGGAGTCGAGACTGAGTGACAATGATAAAGAAGGGGAAGTCGCAGAAGAGCTCTGAGTTGGCACGTTCTTCCTAGAGGAGCCATTTGAAGTCTCCAATACTTCTATCCGCGCTAAAAGCTCTTCAATATCGCTTTGAAGGCGACTCGCTCTAGATGGTAGATCTGTATATTGACAATTGGCGTCTTTGGCACTTTCACTGCACGGACCACAACTTGGCTTGATACCATCACATTTCTGGACAGCGTATTATCAAACTGAGAGCTTTGGAAATTTGGACTGGCTCTCTCACTGACGATCTTCAAGTGTCTGAATGATCGAGAAAGAGTCAGAAGATACATCTTATACACGAACCAAGAACGAACACACCGACAGTTAATGCATGCCTTTCCTCTACGTAATGAATTTCCGTTTTTCCTGGAGCTACGAGTGTCGGCATTTTTGGAGAGAGGAGGCTGAGCAAGAGACATGGTCAATTTTGAGCAATGAGATGAACTGGAAGAAAGTCAACGACTTATAAACCACCTTCAGCGCCTGTTGACGAATACAGTGGTACCGAATGAATATTGCTGACTCCGAGTCCGACTCTAGAAGGGACGATAGATGATGATTCCAAAGAGTGCATCAATCGTCTGTTCAATACAAAGTGACTAAATATTAAAGTTAAAGGATAAGCCTGATGACGAGAAATAGTTCCAGATAGCTCCGCAATAGTTCCAGTGGGAGGATATGATCTGTGGGTGAATGAACTGACTGACTGAAAATGATTGAGAGAGAGTGCGTGAGTGTTGATTTAACCGCCGCAGGCCACCATTTCGGAGCCAAGAGCGGGGAAAACTATGTAAGATACTCCTAGATACTCCCAGTTCACACGGGACGCAAAAGCCATGGCAGTTCATTTGAACTGCCATTAAGGCATCCACTGTGGCATCTAGTTGTGACCAGTGACTGTCACGGACTGGCAGGGATCAGCGTCAGCCATGACTTCGGCATGACATGTGGTGTTTCACCATATTTTTATTTTTGTTGACTCTTTCTCAATATTGCATGTAAGTACACATTCCCTATGTGATTTAGTAAAGTAATATTCTTACAAATCATAAATATTATCTCTTCATTTCAAAGAACTTCAACTTTTCATCTCCAAGACCTGTATTGTTGGCTAGTGCAGCTTGAAGCACCTAATATTTTTACTCTCCTTACTTTGGCTGCTAGAGAGCATTGTTGGGCCCCAGTCAATGATATTGTACAAAGAAGACTGTTGATAACAAGTAATAGATAGTATATAAATGACTTGTTATAAGAAGTGCTCTTAATAATTATGCAGTTGTAATAACAACAGTTCATGCTTCATTTGGATCAGTAATAAGGACTGTTAATTATAATGAGATAAGGAATTGAATCCATGAGTGCTAAAAGAACAAAAACTCACCTGCACACTCCAGCTGCACCAAACTCATTCATTGTATGGAATATATTGAGTCACATACTATGATTACATTTTGTTGTGCAGCAATTTCATTATTTATTGATGTCTAACTGTAGCAGCCTTAGTAAGTTAAGTAAATTAATGGTGTTTTTAGCTTCAAACAAAACTAAAAAAAGGAGATGCAGAAAAAAAAGAAATGTTTTGCAAATGATTAGAAATTTTGCCAATCCAGGACTCTATAATAACTTTAGAGTCAATGATAGTGCTGTCCAGCTGAGCAAGTATTCAAATAGTCCATCAAGAAGTGCATTTATTGCATGAGATTGTTGCTTACCACATCTGTAAAACCTGGATTTTCGGCTAATAGCTGGAGAGCAGCTGACAGCGCTGTCCAGCTGGGAAAGCACTCCCAGCAGTTGATCAATACTGCTGGGAGTGCTTTCAAAGTTTCAGTGCTGGACAGCGCTCTCCAGCCAGTATCCTTGCTCTGGCGAACATCCATGTTTTGCAGATGCAGCCTCTACTTACAGATAATGTACATTTTGCCATTGCTTTGAGACCTTTCAAAATATTGCAGAAATAGTTGATAAGTGTAAAACTGTTTATACAGTTGCTCAGCTTATGTAACATTTGCACATTGTCAGCAAACCACCTCTGAGTAACAGAAAAATATGCATACCTGAACAGATAAATTATGCCTTACAAACAACTTCTACAAATATTTCAGCTAACAGAAAAAATCATGAATTAAATTTGATAGGTTCATCTTATAATCAACTCTATTATTTGAAGCATGTAGTGTGAGATAATGTTCATGTATGTGGGATATGTCTACCAGCCTGTATAAACTGGTTTTGTGGCTTAGTTGTAAAACAATTCTAACCTCAACCTTATGATGGTCTTCTTATACTGCATACATAAAGAGGATTGTTGGAGTAAACAAATGACTTGCAGAATTTTGGGACATAGCTTATATATTCAGCTTGGAATTTACATTGTTGTTTTCTGTTATTTATCAAGGTTCATGATCGAACGGACCGCTGCGCTTGCAACATAACCGGTCACGACCGGATGCCAACTGTGATCCCTTAATGGCAGTTCATTTGAACTGCCATGGCTTTTGCGTCCCATGTCAGTTTCGACGCATATCACGTGCTGGTCACAGCTGTGACCCCGCCAAAAATCTCAAGGTGCAACGAATTGGTCTTTCGAGTAGTTTTCATTTGAGTTATGCAAAAATTAAAACACAGGCACTGTTAACCTACTGCTTAAAGACAATATCAGATTTTCTGAGATTTGATAGTGAAGAATTCAGAGATGAGATAGCATTCTGGCAAGAGTGTCTAAACTAAGCGCCAAGTCCTTAATGGTCCTCGGTTCATATTTTTGTACATTGACTGCACTTTTCTCATCATCCCCAGCTGTAAATCATGATTGAATGAGCAATGTTTTATTATGAATAACCTGGGTGATCCATCCATTCTGAGAGTGGAATAACTTCAACAAGAAACAAGATGCATACCATGGACAAGCCACAAAACTGTGCTGAAATGATGAGTATTTTGCTCTACAGGCATCTATGCACATCTCTTACTACAAGATACAATACAAAGTCCTCAAGTGCTGTTGTTCTTGACTTTTGAGTTTTTTCAAGAATGTTGAGATTCATCAAAAATAGTGAATTTTGTGATTTCACACACCATAAAGCTATAGGCTTTTTCAATTATGGATATAAGACTTAGATTTTCTGGGTAGGTCTACCTATGAGGGTACTCAACAGGGCCTGTGTTCTCAATAGACTGTATTGGGGCTGGGTGTTGAGATAAAAAGTGCTCAAGGATTGTCACTCTGAAAGTCACTGAAAAGCACATGATGTGCGTCGAAACTGAACTGGGAGTATCTTACCAAGTACAAGTAATGCCAAATATCATATAGTGCTTTGCGTAATTCTTTGCTTGCTCTAGGTTCGTTCCAAGCCCTGCAAATAACTCTCACAATGAGTTGCTGGCGGGCCGGCTTTCGCTAAGGTAGAGCTCAAGCAAGATCCACACATGTCAGGTGACTGTGACCCACTGCTATTTTGATCCACGAAAAAATTAATAGCAGTCTCAGAAATCCACCTTCTCGAAATCGGTTTGCGTAGAAAGTTTTGGATCCAACTAGCAAAACCTTCCTTGCGACCCAATTTTCTGTATATGTCAATGAACAGCTGCTATTAATTTTCGAAGGTAATGTCACGCCAGTCAGGTGACGTGTGCGGAACTTGCTTGAGCTCTACCTTAGAAGGGGCTTGGGACAAAGTGTTTCAGAATTGGGGAGTCAATCGAAGGTGATATCTCTTTCAGTTTTCAATGAAATCACCTGCTGTAAGAGGTAAAACTTCAGTTCAGAAGCATACCTATTTGACTGCTAGGTTCAAGAAATTAAAAAACAAGATTTTTGCTCATTTATCCACTGTGCAAGTTGTGTCACTTTCAAAAACTGTAAACCAAAAGAAAAGTCTAAAAAGACTATTGAATAATGCCCCAGTGACCTTCATGGCTGGGTATAGTATGTATTAGCATCCTTATAAGTTGCTAGTATACTTAGAATGATTATTTCCCAGGTGTGCAATAGTACATACACTGTCAGAAGCAACGACTTTGAATTCTTGATTTTGTCACGCCACGCATGACATTGGGTCACCGCAAAGACTGGACACATTCAGGGGTAGAAATACACTGAGGAAGGCGGGTTTTGAGTCCCTGGGTACTTCTACTAGATGAATGTGTGATTTTGCGACATCTGGGGGTGCCAGGGCTGTGATTTTGTGAAAGCAGAGGAGTTTGTGGCTGAAAAGACATGCTAGTCAGGCAGAGTTGGGGGTCGACACGCATAGATTGCAGCTAGAAGACCTGCAAGGCTATTAAATAACTAATTAGCAACAATCAGGTTAGCATGGCAGCAGAAGACATGCACCTATCTACTCAAATAGTCTTCCTATTGATGATTTTCCCTTTGCCTTGAAGCATTGAATTTGACACATTTCTTGAGTTTGAGAGCAGTCAAGAGAATTCAAAGTGGATAAATATATGTATTAGTATATATAGAGTAGATTCAATAAGTTCAAAGGTAGAGGAGGGAGTAGCACAGAAGATAGCTGACTCCCCTAAATCGGAGCACCTAGGCACAAGCCCCTTCGTCAGAAAGGCATGTAAATTCAGCCAAACAAATGCATGTGCAAACAGTTTTCATGTGCCCGGTTTGCAGGACCATGATGAAGGGGCTTGGAATGAACCTAGCTTGCTCGACTTTTTCCCATCTATTTGTGTTTATTTATTTGTCCAATATATTTTGCCCCAAAATCACAGAAGTGATGTGGTATGGTAGGTCTCCAAAATCAATAGCTCTTCGAAGCCCAACAGCCCCGGCAGTCCTTGAAGAGAGCCCTATCGAGCCTCAGCCCAAAAATGTATTGAACAAATAAACTGTTAAGATCATGTACACCGTGTAACTGTGCCAGAGGCCACAAGGTATCTAAGGGTGGAAGGTCGAATGGGACAGTAGTGAAGTTATGAACAACACTGCTGTTACGCCGCTAGTCCCTGGAGCTCGAGAGTAGGGAAGAAGAGAGCCAGAAGCAGCCAAGTCGGAGTGGCGGTATTGCCAACAACGAGGAGTGAACCGAAGAACTTATAAGTCCTAAGGTCAGAGTAAGAAGTACTTTGAGGTGACGAGCCTGAAGACTAGAGAGTGACAGGAGCACAGAGGAAGTCTCAAGTCGAGGAAGTTAAGAGGATAATCTAAGTTGATAATTAAACTGAGGAACTACAGTATCGTACAGGCAGTATTTATATCTACAGATTGGCGCATCAGTGCAGAGTGCCAGACTAACTACTAGGAGCTATACATGTAGTACCTGCAGGATAGGGAATAAGACAATAAAGGAAAGGATAAAACAATAAGAAAGAGTCTAAGCAGAAAGGGAATGTGTAGCGAGAAAGAACAATAAATATGAGATTACAATAAATGGTAGATCTCAGAATACCAAGCGGCGGAATG